CGATTCGGTTCCGTACGGAACTAATAAAAAAATGCAAAGTTTTTCTTCTTTCCAATATATCTATGTATAACGAAAAAATTTTCCACCCGAATTATTGCCTAGTTCAATCACGATCAAACATTAGACTCAAAGCTTCGTTTTTCCAAAGCTTCCTTATAGGATTATTCCTTTAATCTTTATAGATTCCCACGCTATAATCATCAAATCGTTAAAAGCATCTATATATCCTGTATAAAAAGAATCTTCTATACCCTTTATGTTTGCATCACTTCAGGGTCACCTAATACTAAAAGATTTTGTATACTAACGTGCTTATTGAGGGTCTGTTCGTTGGTGGGAAATAATACACTGATAAAAATGCTGCATGCTGTAGGGCCTTACAAAAACCATGTATGCTTCAACATTCGTAGGGTTGCCCACCAAAAGAAATGAACTAAATCGGAAACTTCAAACTGGGCTGCCGTCTTCGTAAGTTTACTACGCATAAGTAGGCTCAAGTTGCGGAAGTTAATACTTAGAGAAGCACAAGAGAGTATGTGGGACGGTTTCGGTTAAGACTCAACGAGACGACTCTAGTCTGTAGCCCATTACATATGGTATACCAGTGATCAAATCAGCTTCCTTTTATCAAAGAAGGAAACGAAGTTCGGTAAATATGTTATTTATCCTTTCTTTGTCAACTGTTTCAGACCCGTCCCGCTTTAGAAAATATTTCGATGCTCGACTAAAACATTGTCAAACCGAACCTGGTATCAAATTTAAATATATAGTCATACAAACATAGTACATATTAAACCACTGAGAGAGTTCCTCAATATTGTAATTTTATATGGCGAAAAAAATAAATTCGAATTGTACTCGCTCGACCCAAGCTTAATGAATCCAGACCTTTACGGGCGTTCTTTATTCTTGCGTACACTGGAATGATTTAATGAAGTGAGCTTTTTTTTGAAATTCTAGTACATCGTATGAAGCGAGTCGTCTGAGGAGAAAAATGGGCTCAAATTAGTGCCGTATAGGCCACTCACGTTGACTATGAGGCTATCTTCTAACCCATGTTGTAACCAGATATCTTCTATATCAACTTTCCGCTAACGAATAACGTCAACGATTATACTTCAGTGATCTGCAATATATTTCAGATAATATTATTCTTTCGACCAGCAGAAGAGTACCTACTTAATTTTCGTATAAGAATTCCTAAGGAAGAACCGTAACAAATCTTCACATTTCTATTTGAGTCCTTTTCTAGCCAGGAGTTATCATTCAATTATTTGTTGTTTGTTAGGATATGGCAGGGCATTGGTATTGATACTGAGACGTTACGATATGACAGATTTCAACAACTAGAAAACATCAAAGCACAAGCTTCCGACTGCTGTTTCGAAAAGTTGAACTTAAAATATGGATCACTGGCTCTTACCAAAGCTTATCACGGGACTATAAGAAAAACGGGTTCTATGCAAATGCTTAGAATCTCAGGTAAGGAGTAAATAGACATCGTAGCTCAATTATGCAGGCAACAATGTCCTAGATTTTTTTAGAATGTATTATAACGTTCCTTGCTTTGGTCCATGTTACTTTACTTGGTACTAGAATATCCACGTAGTGTCTACACGTAAGCTGCCTAATCATGGTCCTAACGAGGTTGCACGCGTCAGTGTGGACAATTTTCATTAGCCTCTTCCGTCACTGTCCACTGGCAGCAAATATGACAGTTTGTTCTTACTAAAGAAAAATTATCCAAGCGCACACACTCTTCTGACGTGGCTTAGAGGGGTGACATTAACTTCTGACAATACACTTCCTATAATAGTCATATATAGTTGTATCAACTTCCGTGTCCGAAACCCTTATGAGCTACTATTATTAGAAGGAATTAGTATTAAAAATACAGCTTGATTTAACAGTAGTATAACGGAAAAGATGACGAACCACTTTCTTCACGGTATAGCGCATAATAAATTTCATCGCGTATCCATTATCAATTAGGGTAAATGTTCCGTGTTCTAGGTCACATCGGATCTACAGTTAGCACCTAAAAGATGACTCATCGATAGTCAGAATGGACCGTAATCAAAAACAACTATATTATAATCACATTGTCCTACAGGCGACTTTTATGACATCATTTAGGAAATTATGATGCGTAGTGGAATAAACTAAACCCAGGCATTGAACCCATTGCCTTTTGGGTAAGGGGTACTGTATTCCATCGTTGATGGTGCAGCCAACTGTTCACTCGTTTACCAATTTTTGCTCACTATATAGGGCAAATATTTACAGCGCGGCTCAACTTTTTCGTACTATAGATTAACTCTTTGTGTTTTGTGCATATTCTTTCAATCTCGGGCCTAATGTGTAACTGTCGTCACCAGTCGGACATCACCAACAATAAATAAAACCAACCGCTCTTCTCGTGTTTCGGCACCTCCCTCTGTGTGTGATTTTCTGAATGTCACCAAAGCTTGCTCAGCTGTACCGTGCAGTTCTCTAGAGGCATATCATTCCGTACATCTAAACCCAACCTACTAAAACCTAACTAAAAGCCAACTAAAAACCTGGCGGATGCTATTGTTCATAGGAGATAATTGTTTATTCCCATGTTTTCATACTAGCACAAACAGGAGAGCAAAAGATAGTGACTAAAGTAAGCCATCATTTCCGTCCCCTATGTGTGGTTCATTTTTGCTTGATAATCTAGTTACGTACAAATGGACATCTTCAAATCGATATACTAAGTAAGCTACCGATTTTATGAAGTCTTGTCTTTGGTAGCTAATTAACACTGACCATTTCTTACTTAGTACTTAGCATCTCTGACTTTGTGTTACAGTCTTTTTTGAGCACACCCTTAATGGAACGAAATACTTTTTGAGAAGATTTGGCAATAATATACAAACATCACGGGCCACTTTTTGTAACGGTTTTTGCCCATGGATTTGCTTTTTCATTCGACATACATCTGAATACCTGAGATATTGTAAAAGCTTTTTCAAGTAAAACTCTTAGACTCTGTTTTTCTCCGGCCAGAAACCGCCGTGAAATTGCCGCCAGCCAAAGAACGAAAGCTATAATCAAAAACCGAACCGTCGCTTAAAGTCTAACAAATCTCTCTGTGTTTCAATGCCGTTTTGCTGTCTAATTCCGAGCAAGGTCCATTATCCCTTTGGGACATCAAGTCTGAGTGACCTGCTTTCCACCGAAAGACCGATTGTCGAAAAATATTGTCTTTTTTACATTAGCAGTGTCTTACATGAATATCACAGAGGTAGTACTTACTCTAGACTTATTTAATACCTCGAATGTCAGAGACGAGTCAGTGATGCCTTATTATTCGCGTTTGATATGATGGCAAACGGCATCTTTCACAGAACTCCTCTGCAAACTGGTTTGCGGTTATATGCGGTGCTATTTAATAAACAGATTTCATCGTTTCCTTTATCGGCCTTAATCTAGTTTTGCCTTCGAAAGGCTATATGAATATATTGAAACCTGCTAGCTTTCTTTGAGCTCTAATTGCTAACGTATCTGTTTTTTTAATTATATTTAGGTTGACCAAAATACTTCTGGAACATTTGATTTCTAAATCCTAATCGGCGTGCTTGGTTCGATGCTCTCAAATTTGTTCTTTTGGTCAGGAAACAAGTCTTCACTTTATAGCTCGTCTATCTGTATTTACATGATGTTCGTACTTGTAAGTCGTAATGTAAAGGATAAGCAAAGCGTTCACTTTCGACTGCGCAAGATTCAGCGTGTCCCTCTACATTGTTATTGAGCTGATGGATCTATCTTTGGATCACTGCACACACGTATTATCTATGTTAGTCTTTTTGTGAGTGAACCGTGTCCGGCCATTTACATTTGTAACTCCGCCGTTGCTAGCGCTGACTTTAAGCGTTATTTTTACAGTGTTTAAGTCTGCATCTTTGCTGTGCCACGGGCGTATCGTCTGTCAAGTGTTTCGGCACTGGTAGAGCATGCGTTTCCGCTTCTTGCCTGTCTTTCTAGCAAAAGTATTTCGCTAGTAAACAAGAAGAGTAAATCTGATTCTTTAGTAAACCTCGAAATGTGGTCAGTTATCGGTATGACATTTTCCCCCCAGTCACATCTGTTGATGTTCCAAGTGCACTTTTATAAACGAGAATATGTTCTGGTGGAATTCTTCGTTCAGCCATTATAACATACTACAAAATCGATAAATGAGGTATTCTCTAAGTTTTACCGAGGTTGTGTCAGATCACATTTTAACAGATCTAGGCAACCTATATAAAAAGTTCCGAAACTATGTATCCGCATTATCGTTCTAAACCCTTACTACCTGAAAGTGTGTCAGTGAAAAGCTTATTAAGCGCTAATCTCTTACCGTTCACAAAAGCAGCTTGTTCAACTCGCAATCTCTTGCTACACCATGTGCTCTAGAATATTATAGATCTCATTACATGTGTTGCTTGAATAGCAATAGATTGTGCTTTGGATGGATACATTTTCTAGAGCTGTGAGTTATCGTGCCCGGCTCCGAAACCAGGCACAGGCGTATCGGACAGACATTACGATGCAGGGCAAGTGAGTTGTAGTCCTTTCCTTTGAACAACTGACCCTTGTTACCACACTAAATAAAATATATTACTTATAGTTAGTCCTGTTTCATACAACCTCCACCAGAGTTCAAGCGATGATAACAAGATACTCAAGAGCCACACTGATAGCTGCTGGCTATCTTCTCACTTTCGCTGCCTGTCGTTACGCAGATTAAATACTCGCCCGTGAAGAGAGCTAAGACACCACACGATTTCGGAATGAATACAAATGGCCATTATGATAGTCTCGCTGATTGCGTCGAGTCAACCGTGCAAAGGAACTTTGTCTTTATAGTGAAACCAATTCCGTGAGATACACCACAAGCAAGTCAATACCTGGTTATGTGCAAGAAAATCCATGGCATTCTATTTTCGGGATAGAAATGAGACATTCTATGTATTGTGTTAGTGCAGTTTTTAAAGCAAAGACATCACCTATGCCACCTTTTTCATTAAATAATAACCTTCCTTCCGGGTCACTTGACGTTCAACTCTAGGTTAAATATGTAGCAAGTCACTCCGTTTGCCTAGAAAAGACTGTAAAAACAGTATTTTTTTGAAAAAAACTATAAATGCCGTTTTTTAGTGCCTCAGAGTACAAAGCACAAGTATTTTGGTACATGAGGCTGGCATTTATGACCCGTTCTGCTTATATATCAGTCATTGTTATCTACACATTTTCCACACCTCAATAGCCCTCGTCAGATGTATTCTGAATCTCTGTCGGTACGTGGTTTATTTCCAAGCATGCGTACAAATAAAATAACATAAGGTTTTCTATTGTCACTACAAAAGTGAATTTCCCCCTTAGATCCGTACCATTGCGAGAGAGTTGCTGTACTGCTCGCAAACGCTCGTTTCGTGCATGATAATCTTCTAAACATAGAAAAGGTTTCGAAAATTCTTACAGGATATTCACGTTTTAATACATAGGGTAATTAGCTTTACAGCATCTTTAGTAGCTAACACGCAGTATTTTTGGTGCATTCCTGTAGCCGCTATCAACAATAAGTATGTTGATTACCGTTAGTTTAAACTCTGGTGCTGGCAAAAGATGACGAAAAATATTTGGAAGGGACAAGCGAAAGAGGGTCATTGGTACAGGAGTTGTTGATATCGTTACTAGCAATTAGGTGCAACAAAAACCTAATTAGATGCCTTCGAAGCAATACTAGACAGTGATTTCGCACACCTATCCTAGAATCGGCTTAAAGTACAAACAAGAACAATAAATAACCTTCATTTTTCTTTATTTTCCACTTTTCTTTAGAAATCTCTGCTACATCGGGCGCAGCTCAAGCACACGCATTCAACAGGTATTATTTTTTATTAATAGTGCGTTAATAACGTGTTTGCCTATTAAGCTTAAACAGTAATCTAGGTTCGAAACTGGGCGTAGGTACATTTCGTTTCATAGTAACAGTCGGCCGTCTGAAGCAATGCTTAAGGGCAGTACTGAACACAGAACTCAACATTAATTTAGGTATTATTATTATTATATGTAATAAATGCCATTACGTAACGATTTGTATGTCTTTCCTGCTTGCCTGGTCGCTGGTTTTCGTTTTGACTCTTAATTTTTTCTCGAAAATATTATTTCAGTCGTGTCTAGCGCATACAACAGTTCTATGGCTGTAGCCAAAGCTTCCATGCCAACACAATATGCTCTACCGAATCCCCTCTGTTATCACATGTCTTCAATTTACAAGGTTCCCATCCTTGTAATGGTGTTGTTTTTTTCATTATTCTGGTAGTTAGCATACTTCTTTAGCAGTTCCTGCCCTGAGGCTTTACTAATCATGGGAATTACCATACCGGGTTATATTTATTTTCTCCCTTGTTGTACAATATCAAGGAGCATTCCAGCCTCTTCGAGTTCAATAACGTCATCAGTCTGTCTGTTACTCGTTTAGCTGTTACAGACGACCCCTTATAACGTTTGTTCACTACCATTGTTTTAAGTGCTAGCCTATGTTATCGCTATAAATGTACGGCTAGCGTTCTTCTAGGCAACTGTATGTCTTAAAAGCCGACACATGCACCTTGTTCATTGTAATTTCGTTTGTATAAACTTGCAACTAATCCCAACATTTCACATTATATCGAAGGGGAAAATTCGATCAATACGTAGCTATTTTCTACCTAAAGTTTTCGTTGTGACGTTTTAGGTGTACGCGTTCATGGAAGTTGTTAGACGAAAAGCTCTGAAATGGCTTTAGTCTGACAACGAAAGTGTACCCCCTCAAACATCATCAGCTACAATGTCTGCCTTAGGGCAGATCGTGACCTCTTTGCTTCTTTTCTCCCTATCACACACTCAATATAATACAGTACAGGGAGGTGAGTCTGCTTGTCGCAACTTTCGTGTTCATTGAACTGTCTAGATGATATTAAAAAATAAACAGTTTAAACATAAAATAAGTATGAATAAATATATGTTTCATGTATAGATGTATTTTATACCATTTAATTGCGAAGTCGCAAAAAATTTGCCAGGCTAGAAAGCTCATATTACCAAACCATGCGTCGTCCTTTAGGCTCGGGCGTCCGTGTGCCTGTGTTTTTAGCATTCTTCTACCGCTCTCAGCTGTCGTATATACTTGTCGTATATACAAAAAGCGCTCATGCAATGAGTTGTATTTGAGCAACTTCTTGAAATATTGGTGCACCCGGTTGTTGATTATCAGTACAGTTTCAGTTCACTTATAGAAGGAAAATTTTGTTTGGCGACGCTGCCATTTTACAGATGCAACCTTCGTATTGCATTGTTGTTGCGTCTTGGGAGAATCAAACCTGACCTCAAATCAGCAGATTAGTCAGCTGTCAACACGGGTGCTTTCATGGCTTCTGGCTTTAAGATAGAAGAATGACGTTCTCGAATTGTTCAAATGTTTTCTTTGATTAAATGCAAATTTGTTGTTCAAATAAAAAAAAACTATTGTTTAAAACCATAAAAGGTTACCTTACTTATCTATACCAGACACGAGACAGGTAGCTCGAGAATGTTTATGTAACATTTCCTGCATGGTAAAGCTGGTTTGCTGTGGAAAACGATATTGAACTAGTGTCCACGAGAGCCGATCATACAATACTAGAAAAATCAAAAGAATCAACTTATCTGTACTTTTAACAATAATCAAATTCAATGCTTTGAAATAAGTCAAACTTTAAGTTTAAAATCATACTTGCAATACGCGTCGAACTGTCGAGCTGCGCTTTTTTCGTATAAATCGAGAAAAGCAAGGATGATTTCTAAATATTTGCTTACATGATAACAATGATTTTTACTATTGACATAGAGTCTGTAAGCCCATCGATCAATATAAATATTCAGTTTAGCCTAGAGGTTCTTCCGCAATCTACTCAATGTAACCAAGATTAGAACCGTTCCAACTGATGGTTTTACTAAAATTGGCCTACTCAACGTGATATAGCAGAGCATTGCCATTAGGACGCTTATCGGAGTCATACAACGGAGCTTTTGGGCTGATAGCTACAAATAAATGTGTAACACTGAAATTATCAACAAACTAACCAAGCTAGTAACACACTGCAATGGAGACTCAGTACATTTTCCATAATATATATCATAAAAGGAATAAGAATAAGATATTTACTATATGTAATTAGCTTGGCAAATGGCCCTTTCCAAACGAGTTAGTGTCGGTTAAACCATCCTTTAGCATTTGTCAGAGGCGCGTAGGGAGAAATTGATCGTCTCCCTACAGAAAAAACATAACACGTCACGCGATAAGCTACACACATATTCGAGGAATAATTGCTATGTGTCGATGGCAAAGAAAACGTGTACACTGGAAAGAACCTATATAACTTGTCTTTTTCTTTCCACAGACAGACAGCAGAATCAGCAGAGTGCCTATGAACCATCGAGAGTAGAACGTTTTCCAGATTCACAAATGCCTGCACTTGAAATCGGTGATGGATCCCGCACGCAACTCGGCTGGGAAGAGGTATGGCGCTCACTCATGTCGTGCCAATCATAAGCGTGTTCCAATTTCCTCTAGCTTTTAACGAAAAATATAGATAAATATGTGTTGTCCTTTAAGTGAAATTCTGGTTGAATTTCTAAGTTGTCCAACGTGCTACAAGAAAGCAATACCGAACGTAACACTCGAAATAGTCAATTAGTATACTGTAAGTCATTCAAACCCCATGTAGAAAAAATTGTTATTCAGTTGTTCCACCTGTGTAACTTCTGGAGCCCTTCGAATTTTCCCTTCAATCAGAAATGAAGTATGTCCACGCCCATTTTCGAAGCAAGGCCAGTTCACACGTCCTGCAGCTTATCACGGGTGCGTAATACTCAGCTGGTTAGATAGCTAAGTCAACACTAACTAAACAATGTAAAAATGAGGCAAATTTATACGCCAATCTACTTTTGCATATACACGCGTGAACGTTTAGATACACTGCTATTTATTTAATCTTAGCCTATAGCGTGTAGGCAAACTTACACTTACTCGCATTTGATCCTACCACAACTCGGGCAATAGTTCAACTTGGATCATTTCATACCGATCACATCTCGTTTCATTTATGCTTGAGCTACGAGTAGTGCGCCATTTACACCTTATAGATTTTCAAGATGGATGAGAATTGTTCACTTTAGACAAAACACAATACATTGTGATGAGCACAATCAGACATGTTGCCCCTAGTTTAAGTAACATAGACCTCGATTCCTGTGCCGACATTTTCAATAGCTGCATTTTCATTTCGATCTACAAAACCCCAAGCCTTTGAACAAATAGGCCCTGTTATACTACACTAATCCGCGTCGTTCCTTGCACGAGTGCATATGTCAATGATTATCTCTAGTAGACACATTAACAGTTTGATATCAATTGTTTATTTACTAGGCTGCTGATTAATAGATTACTGTTAATGTTATCTCAACCGACAGGTGCTCGGTTTGTCATTGTCACTATATACTCGCTGTGCAAGCGATATTACCGATTGGATTTGTCTGCCTCGACATTTTTCGTGAAGACGCCTCTTGTACGGAGCGTCGTACGTTTGAGCAGAGCGTACTATTGCGTCATTGTAATTCTAATTGATTGATTGATTGATTGATCCAATCATTCAATCTATACTTGCAACAATTACGTAGAGTTCAATATTTAACGATAAGGCGGGCAAATCTCTCTGTCCAAAGAGCACGCCCCTTTAATTTTTATCTGAGTTTCTTCAAGACGTGCGCGCTAGAGCATTCTCTAATCCTAATTGAAAAAAGTTTGGTCTTTATGGGCGACGTGTTAGGCGATAATTGAAAACTTATAAAATGGTTATTTTGGTTGCTCAGCCTTGTGAGCTTCTAACACGAACTAGGATTTTGCCATTTTTGAAATTAAAAGAAAAGTTTGTTTAGTAAGCCGACATGGAGATTATGAGACAGATGGACTGTAATGAACGATCGAAACAAGGATAATAAGCTATATCGATTATAAAAATATTTCAATGGAAGAGCGGGACTACTTAACATGATGATAACCCAATAAGTCCTACCTGACGCATACCCAGGTCAGATTTGGGCCAAGGATACCTTAGCGTAGCAAGCGAAGCCGAAGATGGACTTCGTAGGGGCGCAGTGAAATTTGTTTTTCAAGGCTTATATTAGAGTGTTCGAGGTCAAGACGTTACTTCTTCAGGTAGCAGGATACATGTATACATAACAATATTGTTGGTTAATATCATAAGAATATGGGTCGCAGTAGCTTAACTGATCACTACAAATGGCCTTACGAGGTCCCAAGAAAAACCTAGTATGCACAATTGAATGTAATGGCGTGAAGCTGCATAATTTACGCTAGTTTGAGTATGAAGAGAACGAAATTTGTTGATTTTGGAAAAATCTGTGTGATAATTTAAGCGAAGCGCTAGGCATAATAATGGGATAATGGAAGGGATATATAGAGTAAAACAACTTTAAAGAGATAACTGTTAAGCCGCGTGTAATATAATTAGATGTGACCTATCAGGAGTACAGTTGGTGGATCAGTCTAGTAAGTAAAAACAATTGCGACACTACGACTTTGCCGATTTATCATCGGTATCTCACGGTTCTTCTTTTCATCCTGTCCCTTTCAGTGTGACGTGATCATTATTACTGATTACGTGACATGCTACATTTCACCATGCTACCTTCTTGAACTAACTGAAAATTATGTTGCTTAAAAATTTTTTTTATTTATTAATCAAGATTGACTTTGGTTTATACTTTATCAAGCACGGCCGGTCAATTGGTGATATTCAATTACTGGAGTAGTAATTTAACACAACTTTTACCTAGCATTGTTGATGAAGAAACGCAAATTTCAATACATTTCCAGAATTCCCAAACAAGCTAGTAACAATAATCGTTACTTCCATTTAACAGAAATCCAACCCAGTAAAACAAATGCAGCCAGAGCGACAATTGTTAGTGCTGAACGAGTATTTAGATGCAACCCTACGCGAAATCCGTGAAAGTCCCCACCTGCGGAAGGTTCTTGATCCGCTTCGACTCGATAAAGAACCAATCCGCTTCCAAAACGGACATATCCATGACGTGAGTACTCAGCTGTATGAAATATGCTTACCCTTTTTTTACTTTCTATCTTAACAATTGAGCTGATGCAGAAAGTGCACCAAGACATAATCGAGATTCTTTTTTTTAAGCTCAATATCTGGTTTTCGTACCTGAAGAATTTTTTTTGTAGTCCTTGTATTATGCTACTTGCAGGTAATGGCAATGTGATGAATCAATTTTTCCTCATTACTGTGATCACTTAATAGTCTCAATTATTTATGTATTATTATTATTATTATATTGGAACCTGCGAAGTGGACTTAACTATACATGGTCATTCTGTAGGTAAGGGGCTTTAATTTTTTTCTGTATAATTTTATATTTTATTCACATTGATGAGATGTCGTATGGTTTTTTAGCTTCGCAATCAAAGATTCTGCATTTTAACCGCCGATTTGATAGTATTTACCCTAACGCCGCGCGAATCCAGGCCGCGATAGCCCAGCAGACGTTTGAGATGTCCGACTCGCAGATCCCTAATATCCCTTTATTGTCCCACAGCAATAACACTATATTCAGATCCTAATGCACAAACGACTCTAATTGGCATAGGCACAAGTGTGGTAATTTGTCGCGAGGTGCAAAAAAACAAACCGATGTAACGTCATCAGGACTATACAATGCTCAAAAGGATCCATTTAGGAGGCAAGGAATTTTGTTCTAACAGGGCCAATTCAAACGGGCCGCGAGCTTCGAATGCTTGTCGTTTTCAGTATTCCTATGAGCTCACTTGACACATTCACTTCACGTAGCCGTTTCCGCTCCACCTAGGAGGCAATGGACTTTTAACTAGAAATAGCTTCACAGTTCGAATTATTCCACGAGAATAGAGTCATCTACCTCAGTAACTTGTAGCAAAGCTATCCGGTTGCCAACAGCTGGGGTAGGTTTATATGTTTTCATGTTACAAAACGGCTGTTAGGGTGTAAATTGAAATATTAAGTTAGACATAATTGTCTTCAGTGGCAAGGCATCGTTTTAATTGGGTGGCAAAAACCCGTTTAACATTTTGACTTCTCAATAGTAACTCGAAAATTTATGTAATGATAAAAGATATTATTGAAAATGTATCATACATGTTTAAAACTTTTTTTTGCATTTGTCAACTAAGAATATACCAATGCGGTGAAAATATATTGTACAACTAAAACTATTGATAACATTTCCAGTATAATTTCTCTGATTGTGTAATATTTTAACACAAATACAGGTGTGGAAAAAGATGGCGATACGCGTTGCAACACATTCAATAATTTTTGTTAATCTTGAAGCCCCAACGTAGTAGGCCCGAAGAGTGAATAGTTAGGGAAGCTACCATAGTTGCTTGAGCTCAGGCAAATCGGAGGAGATATGAATGGTATCTTAGTTTCGTGAGTATTAACGTCTAATGCATTTTGGGAGACAAGGGAACTGTGTGAGATTACACAGTTTCGTTATAGAATCTTAGAAACATGGATCATTTGTCCTCACTCGTTCATATTGTCAATACCCATCTACCCCATTCGGTATTGAGACTCACTGGCCTGAAAAGGGTTTTTCGGAGGATTCGATCTTTCGATATCGATCTCCAGAAGGTCTTAGCAAATGCAAAGAATTGCCTTTTGAACTATATTCCTCTATCTATCAACAATGACAGACGGCTTTGGCAATGGGAAAATCTTTCTCGCCCATTGTATGTTGCTGAATACTCAATAAGACAGATAATGCATAGCTCAAAAGATGCTTAATACGCGCGAAATCTACCGCACAGGAATTTTCACTATATAGGTCGTACGATTATTTACGTAATCAGTTGAAAAGGTAGTTTCGCTTGAAACAGACTATTCAGCCGCTCGTGGTTGTTAGCAGCCTTCAATAAATCCATTCTTATATCATTTCTAGGTAAACCCATCAAACGTACATCACACCCGAACGAATGCAACTTACAAACACTCCTCATAGTACCCAGATGTGTGAAGAAACCATATTAGCGAATCATATTGCTTACAGTCTATTAGACTGTAAGCATGTGTATTAGGCTGTCAAAAAAACACAAATAAATCGAAAATATTCACTATACTCCTCCGAATATTCTGCCTAAGAAACGCGCATAGTCAAAAAGTGGAGGTTGTGGATAAACGACCACAGACATAGGTTTCGATACAAATGTGAGCGAAATTCCAACTGTTCAACGATTCTATCGCGTGAAAGAGTTCGATAAGCTTTTTTTTTTTTTATATTCAGGTTCGTATTGGCGGTCTCCTGTCACTTCACCGCCAAGGCAATGTTTCCCTTTTAGCCAATGAAGGAATTCTGCTCGCTGAACTTGCCGTAACAAACCTTAGCGTGTCCTTCCAGTAAGTTGTCTTAGTTGTAATGTATAGTATACATTAAATACATACTATACAATTTAACTTTTCGAAACTTACATGCCAGAAGCTACGGGTTCGCTGTGAACGTAAGCCCCACCTAATTCGTCATATAATACGTTCTCTTTTTATCGTTTCTAGGTACCAATATACACTTGTCTCACAATTAAAGTTCGAAGGTAGATTCGATGGTTCATTGGAAAAGTTGTCTGCGACGCTTCACATTAGGCTTGCCGAACACACCTCTCAACTACTGTTATTCGAAGTAAGTGTATGTTTCATTGAGAGGTAAAGGGAACTACTGCATCTCTAGACAGAGTCGCTATAGACGCATAGAGTATACAATTATTTTAACTTATTATTTCTATTGAGTTCCCGCAAACCCCAATAGTAACTAAAAATAGTGTCCTTAACAATATTTATTAACATAATAAAAATAATTGTAAAATAAAAAATTATTACACCTATGTCACTTCCAATGTGTAAACGCTTTTGCAGTCCATCCAATACTCAGAACCATATGCATATATTTAAATCGAAGTTCGGGCAAACCTTGGAGGACTGTTTGTCTTAGCAATTTTCTGAAGAATACAGCAGCAGTTAGTCTTCAATTTTTCGTCAAGGAGGTAATTATCATCTATATGAAAGTCAACCGCAGAAATGATGAAGAACGTGCTCACGATCCAAAAGCTATCCCTATTGTGAGCGAAGGCAAATTTCTAGTCAATGTCTATGTTCCGAGCGTGTTGTACAGAAATGCTATTAAAAGAAGATTCGTACATTTGTAAAGGAAACACTTGAAACGAATTTGTGAGAGATTTATGTCTTAATTTGCGGGTGGTGGCTATGTTGAACAAAACATGGCTCTCGGAAACGATACTTTTTGCGCGTGAAAAACATGTCGCTGAAATGTTTGCTTAGACAGAGTCTTAAAATCAACTCAGAAGAAAACAGACAAATTTAGATGGCACACTCTGTTATTTTCATCAGTGTTTATTACGTTTGTTTGATAGCTGTATACATATAGCGCTTGATAAAATATGACGGTCGTAATAAGATACACGACTTCGACTGTGTAGAAGCGCCAGGAGCATCCCAACAGGAAGAGCTGGGGCAGATAATACTATAAACTACGCTTTGTTATATGCTAAAAAAATATAGCAAAGACAACGTTTCGAAATGCAGATTTTGTAATTAAGTATTATGTTTACGTTTTTTAGGTTGTCGACGTTGGCCGCTGCAGAGTTCATAAGTTTACAGGTGCCTCACGCGCTCTTAACTGGGCTATCCGTAGGGCTTTGCAGTTCACGATTAATTCTAATCGCGATCGAATACGCAGAAAGGTAATTTTATCGCTTCGTTGAAAGTCTATTTGCGGTAATTAAAACTACGCGACCTTTTTAGTTATAATGGTCTCAACCTTAGACATTTAAGCGAGCCTTATTATTCTAGCTGGACGCCTATTATCCTAAGTATAAGAAAATTAATTCGAAGAAGGAGCAAACAAGGCTTAGTCTACAGGGCAGTGAGTACTCTTAGCTTCTCATGCTTAATATTCAAATTGTTCAGGCTCGCTCAATGCAACGTACTAGAAGTATTTCATTGAAGAGAACGTTTCCGCGCTTCTCTAAAAACCTTTTTTCTTCTCCACCTACCTGCATTTATCTTTTATTTTCGATAAAGCTCTTCCTATACTATCAGCGTGCTGTAATGATATTGTGTTGTAAGTGGAATTTTAACTAAAAACTCCTCAAAGGTGGACGTTCCAGGTGGAAGGAAAACATATCTTCGACACCTTTCGTCACGGCCAAAACGCTTTTCAAGCAACCCGAGACATTTACCTTGCGTACGGTAGTGACGTTATCTCTAAGAGTGGTTTGCCAAATTAGAAATCGGTATACGAGACCTACAATATGTCTCCCGCCTTGGCCAACCATCTGACTTAATGGCGGCCAGCTGACAACATCTGAAGAAAAAAGCTCGACAAACATCTCAGAGATTAGTCGAAAAGGCGGGCTGCGGTCATACGACCGTCGTTAAGTGCCTCATACATTCATTTAAGGCTTGGGTACTTCATAAACTTTCTGAATCCAACAAGGAATCACAGCCTTAGACCGGCCGGTATCAAGCGTCACGAGGTTACAATAACTGATTTTCACACAGGATTGTTACCGGTAATAGAAAATGATGTCTGCAGATCAACATGAACCGGAGCTCGGAACGGGTAGCTCCAGAAGGAAAGCGAAGGCTTAGAGTCCAGACCTTTATACAAAGAGGTTATGGTTTGCATTTGGCATCTGATCTACTAGGAATTACTTTTTACGAATTTGACAATTGATCGGCACGTTTAGTTAGCTCGGTTGCGTGAAGTCAGCCAGGCTATTTAAAAGATCAGACTTGTAATTGAAATCAAGTCATTTTGTCTTTTGTCACAAGGCAGATATCCCAAAAACTGCTCTGATAGTTCTGTCGTACCCTCCATATTCTCCGGACCTTACGTCGACAGATTTTCGCCCTTTCCTCTCAACAAGCAATCGTCTTCGTTGACTTGTCTTCGACACAAATCAAGAATCCTCTCCGAGACCAAACACGCTACCTTCCGGCGAGACGGCATACTCATTTACTGGAAACATAGGAGAAAATTATAAACGTTGATGGGAACATACAAAGCCATAATTTATTATTACAACAATCAAAAACACGGTGTTGTTTACCTAGTGAAAAAGCATGGAAGATTTCTTTCTAACGTATATTTATTGATCAAGCAAGATGGACAAATTTCTTTATTATCCAGCTTGCTTGGATTATAAGGCACTCCGAAGAGACTATAAAGAAACTCAGATTTATCTTGGTTTTCTATTTATTTAAAATAATAAAGTGGTTTATAGGTTTTATTATTTTACTTCGTTGGTCATGTCATGTCGGAAACAGCACAGCGTTCCGGCGCTCAAGCCATCAAACACGCTGCGTATACGACGAGTATCAAATAATTAAAGCGTTGATACCTAGCGAGTTATTATAGATTACTAAGAATTTAATTTTCCTCAGAGATTCTGTAGCGTGGCGAGGACCCATTTGTATATTCCGGGTCGGTAATTATTCTTTTTGGTACAAGCCGTATATATGTCGCATGCCTCTTTGTTTCTTCCAGGTGGAAAGCGTTTTACGACCCGTTATCGAGGACGAACTTCGGAAGGTTAGCCTCGAAAAAATCATCGCTAATATCCTCCACTAGCGGTTGTTACAAACTGTACCGTATAATACGTGGAACGTAACGTGCCGTTATATATATGGAAGCGTACTTGGCTATTAATAATTACACATTCGTTTCTTCGAAAGAGTAATTATTTTTATTATTAATATTATTTTGTATTCATATTTTTCTCGTCTCACGCTCGCCGCTTTCTCACAGTCAATCTCACATTCTCTTTTGCTCCCTCCTAGTATAGATATATTTATAAATTTCTATGTGTAACGTTTTCATATTGGAAGTGTATATTTTGATTCTATTATGCTTTTGTCCTAATATTACCATAGTAATTGTTGTCCTTTGTGTGATGACAAAGATCATCAATTCCTTACATAATTAACTGTATACAGATTATTTTTTCAACTATGTTTCACGCTCAGCTTTCAGGCCCACAATGAAACTTTATGATTGAAGCACGTTCTATTTTTTTTTTTTTTTCGTACGCTATATTTGAAAATCGTTCCTAAAAAATTCTAAAGTGACTGTTACATGAAGTATCCTTGACATTTATTTGCCTTTGTCCTGTTTCGTTATATTATGCTTATTACCCTAAAGTGACGAACGTCAAGTCATTATTGCCACACTTTCTCCTTTAGTCAGTAATAATATATACAAGATATTATAGCTCTAGTTAATAGCAACCGTATCTGTTGCTAAGAGCAACAGCCAATGGTCAATTGGCGCAATAGCGATCCATTCTTGCGTTTAGACTCTTTTCCATATAATACCAATAAGGATTATTATTGTTACATCTATGATAATATTTGATGCTACTTTGTCGTATTTTTCGTTTCCATTCGATAGCATACGAGTTAAAATAAGTAATGGCATCTGGTTTCTGGTTCTGAAGAACAAACGAAGTGAAATATATGACTGCTAGCGAAACAGACCCCCTGTCTATAGATCGTATTTTGAATCGTAAACAGTCATCAAAGCCTTCGTGACCGAGCTTCGTAGAGAAACTGAAAAGGGATAGGGTCGTCAGTTGAGGCATTTCAACCTGCTATTTAGATTAAACACGGAAACGTCAAACAGGGTCCGAATAATAGCAGGTGAGCATCTCATGTCTATATACGTAAAGCAATTCGTTCCTTTTAGTGCGTACATGGAATAAGTTCGGCAAAGACCGATCTGTAATAACTTGCCCGGTTTCAGAAACGGATCATAACAACGATAAGAGTACAACAATTGCTCTTCTTTAGGTATACCTATTTATGGCTCATGTCACGTGTAATATTCATATACAACCTATCACTAAATGTAGTGATGGAAATTCATCATGTGTTTTGTCACGATGGCATACAGATAGGCAGTTTTATTTGACGACATACATACTGTCACCGAATAAATTGCCCGTGAACTAAAAAGCTTCTTTTCTAGTTCTATCAGCTTGACTTTTGCGTCGCATCAACCATACGCACCTATCCTATCTCTTCACTTCGATTTCTAAAGCCTGCCATTTTTAGCTATTTTTAAAATCAGGCCACATGAACCTATTAATTTGTTTAGGGTGATTTACAATACTTGACAAGAACTCGTTTCTGATTATCGTCCGACTCATTGTGTGATGCAATACAACTTCATTTCACTATACCTCGAAACTTTCCGATGAGGCCCACCAGCCTAAATATCCAACAGCACAAGTTTGAACCTTATCCCAAGTTTATTACTACCATTAATATAAAGCGGCCTTCATCGCTAACCTGATCCGTCGTACCACACATTCTGTATTATTGAATTAAAAAATTTCCATCTTCTTAGACAGAACGAACTATAACTTTTTTTTTTTTCTTTTCAATCTAAAAAAAGGTACCTGAAAGCTAAACCGTGCCAATAAAAGCTTATACATATTCCAATAAGGCTTATACATTATTTCATTAGTAGATTTCATTTCTTTCGATATTTAGAACGCTTTGACGTCTCGGCGACAAGTTTTACGAGAAGCCGATATACAGCGTAATGCATTACTGACGCGGGAGCCAACAAATATTCCATATAATGATTATATAAAACTAATTTCCAACTTACTACTATACGCAACACTCTTGCCCTATCTAACATCCATATCTACATTGTATTTATTAATACTATATAATTAAAAATAATAGATTAGTCTTTGTCGTAACTTAGACAAAAGCAGTTGCGAACGGTTGATTAATGGTATTTCCAATATATATATATATATATTTGTATATACGAACGGGTGTTGTATCTGTAAATAATTTTTATACGGAGCATGTGGGCTCGAGAAGCCTCGAGAAAAGAGAACTTAAAAAAGAACTCTAATCATTCTGTTTGAATGATTAAGAACACCACCTACGGATATACTAGTAGCAATCCACTGTTAGCAAAGACATTATGATGTATATCTTACTGTAGTATCTGTTTTGCTAAAACATAGACTTTCTGAGAGATTTTCTGAGAGATCAGCACTATTAATAACCCCATCTGACTGCAAAGGACCAGTTCGATTCAGACGTCGCACGGCCTCGTTAAAATCGTTTTATTACACTTCGGGATCGAGGTACATAGAGCTATGCAATTTGGCCTGGTTCAAAAAAGTTGTCGTTGCAACGTTCATAAAAATGCGATAATACACCGATAGATTTCCTCCGCTTTTAAAGTTTGTCTTCTTGCTCACAATAGCGTCACTCTCGGAAGGCAGTGATCCATTCTATTAATTCAGTTACGTCATATCATATCAATCAAATAGACGGGTGATCAGCAGAAAGAGACCCGTAATGCGTTACGGCTGAAGCTGATAAGCAAGCGAGTATGCTTTTACATAGTTACCAAATATTTTAGCTCTATGTACGTGCAAGGCTGAACGCTGCACTAGAAATTGCCTAGCATAGGTTCGTTGTTTGGTAAGCGAATTTCTCTCGTTAATGCCTTATTATTATTCTTGTAGTAGAGTTGAATTTGCTGCTGGTAAAAGTCTTCATGTCACCGTTATCGGTAAACCCATGTTACCGGTACCCATTGCTCCTGTAGATGTATTAGTTCTGCAGCTTCTCTCAGTTGATGGATAGTGTCCCCTATGTCTGAGTTGACTATCGTTAAGTCAAACCATCGACCGAACGTGTTTGCTAGCTGGGTAGATTCGCGATTCAAGCGTTCTAAACTACCGTCCACCTGCGTAAGAAAAACACACAGGAGTGATCGTATGGCATAAGCATTTGGTCAAATTAAATAAGTTAGTTAGGTCAAGCAGCTTTTTCTCCTTGTAGCAATAGTTATAATATAATAATACCCTTGAAGTTCGTAGCGGCTTTATTCTAGCATCACAGATAAAGTTAGATAAGGGAAAATTGTTCACTATATTCGTAAAACTGTCTTCCGATATTCGTTTTGCGCCATGTTTGACTCAATTACACGTTTCAATCAAGCTGTAAGAGTCCCCAAAAGTGGATATCGAGCAAAAATCTGTCTACGATATGACTGGTCAACCGACGAACCGTGTATGTACAACCGAGTATACGGGTCGAACATTTTCTAAAATCGAACGAGAGTAACCTTGTTTTCTCGAAAATGATCCCATGCTACAGGAAGTGGGTAATCTACAACACTGTCATTCGGGGAAAATTATGGTCAAAGCGTAGCAATGCTCTTTAATTGAGTGCTAAAGCTGAATGACCAATTTTCACCTCAAGAACCAGTATAACCTTACTCCAACGAGTCGTATTGGTCTGTGCGGCTTGTGTGCATCTCTCTGAGTGTGTTTCTATGGTAACTATAACTGACAACAATATTGACGCGCTAACTCAGCGTTTGAGAAAAAATATTACCATATATTAATAACCAGAAAATATAACGATCTGGGGAAAATAAGGTTAATAGCTGCTTGTATGGTTGCTATGCCGTTTCATAGGTCTGTTAGAGAAACCTCATAAGTCCAGCAAGGCCCACTTACTTTGTAGTCCTACCTAAAAAGAGATGATTTCAAGAAGTTACTTACACAAGTAGAATAATTAGAATTGCTAAAAAGATACTAGTAACGACCCAATGGTTTAAGACAATGCATACAAGAAAAGCAACATGACAAGGCTCGGCTTCACATATCTTACGTGAATTTGCAAAAATTGTTGGAATTTCATTTGGATGTTTTACCCTAGTCATAGTCTCGGCCTCTTTCATCCTAATTACTACTTTTTCTGGCCCTTCAGTAAAAATAATTTTATGTATTTAGATGCTATAAGGCCAGCTTATTGCAAGCATAAAAATAGAGTTGAAAAGTTGCGCGAAAGATAAGCGAGTGTTGTAGCCAATAACCGCCAATGTAGCGTTGATTAAAGTTGGGGGGACGAAAAATTGTTTTTAATTATAATTAGGCAAAATTCCGCTGCGAACTTGTAAATTAATATACAACGCACTGTATAATAATTTATAGGGATTTATATCTGTTGTTTTAAGAGCCTTCTTTTTTTATTGACACAGCTTCAATTTATACGTACATCATGAAGCGTGCCAAGCGGTGGAGCGGCGATAAAGACGACAAACGGCGTGAACTCGGCACATCGAAGCATCTTCAATGCCTGAGGCTCTACATCCAGTATAGCCATTTTACCGCTGTTGATTATCCTGAAAAATATTGATACACTTTAACATGGAAACTATCTTAATTGTGTTAAACGGTTGTGAATTCGATCATGTTAGGGTGGTTTATATTTTCTACATAATAAACTCCTTCGGCGAATCTCCAAATTTATGAAATTGTATCTCTATTGAGAGTTACCTTTTGCTCAATACTAATTCTTTATCTTTTAACTTGTATAGAACAAATCTGTGTCAAGCTCTATCCAGTGTTTTTTTTTCGAGAGATAAGCAATTATCCTACTTTTGCCAATGTTCTATGTGTATCGTTGCAGACAGCACTATTTTCCATACTTGTTTAATTTATTCGTTAGATCTAAACTTGTAAGTTGCATTAGTTTTCGTCCGAAGGACTATTTAAGAAGCGTTAGACAGGCGGCTGAGATAACTGGTACATGCTTTAAGTGAAACCGCTGATTACAACACGGCCTATAGTGCGAATGGCATGAGCTACAGTAATCGGCACATATCTCAAGTTTAACTTAAGACACTGAACGGATTTAAACGCGCAAGTGGACTGTATTCAACGGCTTTTTGTGCATGAGTGGTCTATATGGATAGGCACTTGTCCTGCAATTTCCAGGTTAGAAAAGCGCATACACTATATATTTGATGCGCCAGCATTGGGTCAATAAAATATAGATACCTTCGGATCGTGTCGAGTTTTGTTCCGTACATGGCACCTTCGTGGCCGCCGTATTCGAGGTATTGATTGGTAGCAATATCTCTTAACATTTCATCTTGATGCACAAAAAAATAATGATGCCCGTTTTCCTCGCCCCTTCGCTGTGGTCGCGTCGTATCTGTATCAAATAAGATTGAGCTCGTCAAAGACAACTGATTAATTAGCATAAGGAAGCACATACTTAGAGTCAATAAGGTATAGTAGACAAGATACTCTGTTGAGGAAATTACGCTTTATAGTATTTCTAAATTAAACTACATGTTTACGATAACATTTATCATTAACCAGTGTAGACAGCAAAGTGGGTTACTTACGTGGGATTGGATATGCGTATCGTTCAGGATTGCCTCCAATCAACGTGTTCTTAATGTGTCTCCGTCCCACCCCATGGGCCCCGAGTAGCACAAGGGTGTTACGGCGAAAAGCGGGAACTTTCATCACTTCTTCATAGCATGACAAGTCCATATCGTCCGCAAGAGCGCGCTAAATTGGGAATAAAGACAATATCGAAGAGTATTACTGGTATTAACAATCGTGTCTAGTCTTAATGTTTGATTCTCCTTAGTAGGCAACAATGTACAAAAGAGAAATCAACGATTCTATTGACAAAAAGAAGCAATTAGGCATATACGAAAGCTACACATTTCACACGATTCGGCGTACCAGTCGTATAAATTAAATAATTTTATGTTTTAGTGTTCTTGTTATGTAGCGCATGAGCAAAAAGGCACAAGAAGATGTAATGTAGAAGCTGAAAGATCGCCATTGGCTCTCCCCATGTAACTTTCAAGCTTCATCGTGAATATCACATTGCATCACTTACAAAAAGCACGTTCAGTAAACATCAGAGCTAACAGAGATGTCTCAGGTTTTGCAGGTTAATGGACTCATGTAAATAAAGTTTTCCCAATTAACCCGGATCTATTCTAATAGAACATCCATTAGGTAATCCTACATAGCATTAATGCTATGTTAATTTGTTTCACATGATATTTTATTACTAACCCGAATTTATATGTTATTTGTCATAAAGGGCTGCATCGTCTGTGGAACTACTGTTGGCCCTGAAACACTTCTATTGTTTTTTAAGTTAAAGGTACATTTCTATAGCAAGTAAAACAATTTTAAGGAAGGGAATATAAAATAACAAGCGTCATTCAAATGGGACAGATGCTTTTTATGTTTAGCTAATTTCAGCCGTGATAACAATTAGCCGTGATACAGTAAGAAGATCGACAAATTTTGAAATACTTACTTTGGCAGCAAGCTGCTTTTCTTTTTCCTTTTTACGTTTTCGAAAGATTGAGCAATTCGTCGAGTCGCGGTGATGACCGTACTTGTCGTTCTTGGCATTCTCCAGCGCTGTTTGTGTTAGACGCCATTCTTGAAGTTCGGGCGATGGAACGAGTCCGGAGGGACCCTCAGGTGAACATTTACGCACCTGCCACCAGTTTGCATCCTCTTTATTTATTACCTGTAGAAGGGAGATGATAGCACAGGAACTTGCGCTGGTACTTTAAGTATGGTTCACATGAATCAATAGAGTAGCTCCGATGATGAATTGGACAGGGAAACATGATTTGAGGCAAGAGATAGTTCCTCCAAAGCGTATTATATGCAACGACTAAATTTCTAAATTGGATAAACAAATATAGCGATAACAACTCGAGCTTCTCTGAGCTGCATTTCATAGCAGATTCTCTGTAGAATAAGTGTTTGATAGCTGCTAGTAAGCCAACAATAAACTGCTGATAGTTAAATCCTATAGAAGGGATATACTTGTACCGTGTAGACAGAGGTGTGCATTTGATAATCAAACTAAGTATTCTGCTTATTACATAATATACCTTTACGATAGTATTTGATTTATTTCTAATACTGCCTTTAAATTGTATTTACGTTATCACTTCTCTAGACACTTTCCTGGCGTAGTGGGTTTCATGGGCAAAGCCCTACGGGTACCAATACTGTTTTTTTACCAACTTCAACGAACGTGATTGGACCTTAACCTTCTCAGAGTATCAATAACGGAAGTTTACTACTCCGCCTTGGCGTGGCGTGTTATTCTCCCTGCTTCTAAACTCATCTTTTTTGTATGTACCGTACAAGTTTTATACTTCGTCGGTGCGACACAGCGTTGAAGATCAGCTCTTTTCTATATATAATTTCGTAGACGAAGCTTCATATGCTACTAATTACTGTTGAATATAGTATACATCTAATCCGTTATCTCAGTCCTACTTTTATTTTGCTGCAGTCCATCACTGTGACAAACACCCCACTGCCGTTTACCTATTAAAAATGCCCAATATGCTATTGTTTCTAGTTTGTGTTTATAAGCAACCATCATTTGTTACGTTGTTCAGGAAACGATTGGTTCGTCTGTCACGCTACCGGATGGTCACAGTGTTCTGTTAGAAGCGGTTGACGCTATACTACATTATTTTTTTTGTAGACCGTCTTACACCCGTGTTAGACTTGTTTCGTATTTGCGCAAGCTCATGTGCGCTCATTTTTTGGGAGGAGTTGTCAAAGTTAGCATCTGTCCAGCCCATTTGTTTATGTAAACCAAAAGGTGATTTCATACGGCACAGCAGGGTAATTTCTACGGAAAACCAGCCGTAACATCGCCAAAGAAGTTACCCTACAGTAGTTAGAAAAAAAGAGTGCAACTAGCCGACGTTCAGCAGCGATCTCGTTAATGGTATTACCAGTTTTAAACCAGATATCTAGACTTCTTCTTTTCTATGACGCCGCATCGCAGAGACTTTTGACGTCACCACATCTCGAGCATATGCTACACGGTACCCAGACAGAGCGAGTGGACACAAGTGGCGGAACGATATATTCGCCTTTTCTTGTGTCGCGTTTATGCATAAAGGATTGCGACTCCATAGATCTAATATTTTGCATTTCACGGAAACGCCGTTTTTGCAGGCAGTGGTCACGATAAACTTTTCAGTTGCTCTTCGCCTATTCATCTGCTACTTGTAGGACATGACTGAATTGCGCTTCATCTAGCTTAATCCCTGCAGTTGCCTCGCATTGAATTACTCCATTTGAACCTTCAGCGATTTCGACATGCTATGGGAAATATTTTCAGCAAGAATAGTCTCTGATTTCTTCTTCTTTTAGCCCACAATATCAATCTTAAGAAATCGAATCCTGATTTTCTAAAAAATGGACGCACTCGAAATAGCTCTTGGATCTTAAGAAACGATCTCAATGATAGGTCGAAAGTGATCATCATTTATTATGTAAACTGTTTCAGATATATAATACGATCCCTCAGTGCCTGGTGGTATATCTTAAATATAGTGTATAAGTAAAAAGGCAAATACAGATAATTCTAATTACCCAGACTGACGGCACGCATGTAGGTGTTGTGCTATCAAAGCAAAGCAGATTAAAATGGAAAAAGCTTATTATGAAACCTGTATGTAATCAACAATAGCATATACTTGCTGCATTCACATAAAAATAAGCTAAGTTGAAACTTTCTCTTAACGGCATTTAGTTTTGAGTACCCCCATGTTGCAACAAGATTTGTCAGTGTAATCAAAACTATTCGTAATACGATCGATCCCCTTTACTTGCCCCATTTATACTAAAAACTCATATCAGATCAACAGGTTCACTCAAGTCACGTTTAAAATTAGATGCAGGCTTATAAAGAATGGAATCGTGATTTATTCTCTTGTTTGCACACCGCGACATTACCTGTACTATTTGAACAGTATGTTTTTATAATGATGATTTAAATTGGGACACACTTTGACGAGCTGTTCATCGTAACGGGTCTATCCGTCATTAATCTTCTACAGCAATAACTCCCTATAGATTTCATATTTCACAGGCCAACAATTGATCGAAATAGTTTAAAAAATATTTTTCTTATTTTTTTTTATACACACAAATTAACAGTAATTTTGAAATAAATCTGATGCAAATTCGGTCGTCCAGGTAAACTTCAATGATGAATGTTTTTCAGACTCGTTCGCCTTTTTGCACCTTTTGGGCCATTTTGAGTGAACAAAATGAAGTGCTTCACACCATCTTTAATCTAAGCATTCTGTAATCAGAAATATGTTACAGCACAACGTCTTGACGCAACGCGAAAATTAAATTTTACTTTATTCAGAAACAAACGTATGCCACGAAGTACAGTCAACAATATTTGTATGTTTATCAATAATCCGTGCTGTTAAGAATAGAAACAAATAAAACTTTAGCCACCATATATAAAAATAGCCTGCATATTATTAAAGATAAATCATTCTATAGCGTGTCCAAATTAATCCCCAGGTAACGACAAACCACCTAAATTACCCGTCATTAGTACTTTATGTAAACTCTATTCTATAGAAACTCGCTTGTCTGTCAAAAACTAAGTTTCAGTTTTTCAGGAATCCGATAATCGAATAGCCAAGACAAATTATTTTTCTGCCAGGGCTTAGGGCATATTCTGCGGGCCTGACCTCCGCCTTGGTTGGATCTGCACTTGCGCGAAATGGAGGACAGTTAATGTAATTAACTTATTATACTTTTTAAAGTTTGTTCAGCAGGGAATCTGTACTTCCTGCCAAGCAAATTTTTGGAATCTGCCTTGATGCTGTAGCTATACGAATTTGTAATTGAGTAAACGACGAAAACTTCCCACGTTTGTGTGTTGTCGATGAAATATGTTGCTTTTTATTTGATAACAGTGCTTTTTCTAATATTTCCAATAATAGCAAAAAGAGATGATGAAGGACAAAGTCGCAGACACTTACAACTTCACAAGTTAGACACCTGGGCCTCACTCAGTCCTACAGTCCATCGGTGATGAACATAGTTCATACGAACGCTATTTCGACGTTGATTATAGAAATCGTTATACGTTTTATCCGCTCAGATATAAAAATGGTGCAAACTTTTTTCTGGTTTTTGTACAACTAAAATTATTAATTATGAGGAACCATTCTTAAGCTTTTTTTCTAGCTAGAACTTTTATTACTTTATTCGCTTTTTAGACTTTTTACGCACACATACTTCTAAATATCGTTTTCTTATAAAATGTTTGATACAGCGTCGGATTTGGATGCCCTTCAACAAAAGACACATACATCAAATCGATTCTATGCTCAGCACACAAGTCAACAAATATATTAACTTTATATATATATATAACAAATATATTAACAAACAAAAGAACTATTAAGTCCGTTACCCAAACTCATAAAAACTGCTCTTTATTAAGTAACTTTATATATATATATATCTCCCAAGTGACGAAATAGCGGTATAATATTATATAAACATATTGATACTTATAATTAATTCAATAATAATAATAATTTATATAAGGCAGCTTACCTGTAGTATTTGACCTATACGAAACGAAATCCCCGCTTGAGTGCATGGGATGAGCTCGTCGTCAATCGGATCGTAATTAAACATGCATTTTATGTACATCTGAAATATCAGACATCATCAGCGACAACGATATCGACGATAACAATGATTATTAGTGCTCATCAATTGTTGTTCCGCATTGTCAAGGGAAAAACATATGCAATATGTCTAAGAAGATCTAGGGATCTTCGTTTTCATCTATTTTCAAAGAACGACATCAGCAGTAAAGCACTGGTAGATTTGCGTGCAGAACGTGATATTCGGTCTTAGAGGCCTGATCGGTTTATGTTAAGTTACAAATAAACTTCCTGGTAAAAGTATTAGAGTATCAGTTTCGTCTATATAATATCATAATAGAAGATACAATTGCCAGTTAGCATCAAAATTTTTTCCGTAGCAATCGAGACTCGTTTCGGTTTACAGCATTACATAATGGCAAATAAATAAATACGTTTTTCTTTATTATGTAGATCGTAGCTTTATTTCCGGCGTCACCGTTTGGCATTCCATCAAATGGCCTGCTCCCCGCACGAAACGTATCTTGCGTACATTCGGATTCGAACCTACACTAGAGTCTGCGTGTCCTTAACACGGACACGCAAATACGCTATCCACTAACCTGTCATAGGGCCAAAGTGTTAGAGCAAATACATCATAACCCAGCAATCAATGAGTGCAGTAGTAGAACGTTAGACAATTATATTAGGGTGTCGTATTTGCAAAGCTTCATTTTAACAGCTATTAGGCAAACGAATTTCAATGCCAAAAACAGAAGCGCTGTGAGTACTAGTCGTCGTGTGTCCGCGAACCAATATTCGAAAAGTTAATATTTATTAAATTTAACTTAATTTAGCATATTTTTGTAATTAACATGGATTTTACATAAAACTACCGTTATTGTTTCAGTAAGAAAAAGTTGCAATGTAGTCTAATACAAACGCTAAGCTCTGTTTGATTTCGCGTATCCGGAGTCTCCATCGAAAAAAATTTGACGCAAGATTTCTCTAGCTTTTAAGCCCATTTAGATCTGCACAGCGTAGAAATATAAGTTCCGAAACACATGTCCCACTGAGTAGCTTTATTGAAAGCGGGTTGCAAAGGGCTCTCTAGGTTAGAGTCAGTCTTCCACTAAGTGAAAACGTCCGTTATGCGACTCGCGCACAACAGAAAAGGTCTTTAGTCGTCGTTAGTACGTCGTTTGGAGAAACGTTTGCTCTCAAGTTAATCTTCCTATCTAGTATTTTATAAATTTTCTCTTCAAAAAAAATATGCGTAATACTCACAGCAGATGATGCAAGATGGTTGAAATTTTGATGCTGTTGATGATGATGATGATGGTGATATTGCTAAGGAATAGGGTGAAGGTCCAGAACATACAGAGGAAAAACACATAAGGACATAAAAATAAAAAAAATATAAAGAGAAGTGTTAGTTTTCTGTGGGGTTGAATGGGGGGGGGGGGGATTAATGAAAGGAACATGTGTAGCTCTCCAGAAAGCATGACAAAGTAGCCAGGATAGTAAAATCAAACAACGTATTAGTCCAAATTTCGTAGGTCTTTTAATAGGAATAGTTAAAAGGGTCAATAGGTGAATGTGTTTGAAAGCTGACCATAGACACGGATTAGCAGTAGACGGTACATAATATCCAATGACTAAAACAACTTGTATATTTCCCATTTTGTCAAAAAAGAATAAACCCAATGAACAGAGACATCTGTTTGGCAATAATACAGAAGGAAACCAACTACAACATATTTAAGTATATATGAACTTTGCTCAGGATTTATGTAGAACTAACTACAGGGAAATCTTTACAGGCGTTCTTATCTCTAGGAAAGACTAATCAAAATAGCGCGCTGTTCATTCGCGCAAAATAGTTTGGAAAAGACTAAACTTTATTTAATATCTCGAATAACCTTGCGATTTTGACGTTCTGTAAAATGAATACTTCTGCATTATTTCGCTTCTTTTTTTAAAATAAACCTGAATATCTAAATGTGCATTTACGGGCAATCACTCCTGGTAAATCATATTGTTTTTTTAAACAAAACAAGATATCCTTTGCTGAAAACCGATGTTATATTAGCAACAACTTCGTATCCCTTAGCTTATGGCCCGACATTCAGCTTACACAATGTCTAATAGACTGACAAAATTCGTCCAGTCCAAAACGTTTGAAAAGAACCAGATAATTTTGTGCGTGCCAACTTAAAAATTATCAACCACTCGTCAACTCCGCCCCGTGATATGAAAAAAAAATGCGTACTTTTAACTTCGTAAAACAATAGTAGCATCAGAACTAGATGTTCCTCGACGCCACCAGCTGTGGAAATATTGACTGCGACGCCTTAATATAAGACATCGTAGCAACTGCTTACAGGACCTTTGCTGTGGCTGGCGTTAATCCTTCAGGGAAGATAGAAGATCCCTAGAGGCCGCATTGCTAACACAGCACTTTGCCTTTGGAGTAGCGTCGGGAAAGAGGAGGGCTTGAGCTGCTGCCACTATCAACTGGTTACGACATTTCTACATCTTCTGTATCGGCAGATCAAACAAAGCAAAACCTCGCAAGAAATCGTCTCAGTTTTACAAGTTACTTTTAGATTGCCTGATTCAGTTTAAGAGATCTATCAACATGTTCCTGACGAGGCAAATCCATTTTGCTTTCAGGCCCGGCAGAGTCGCGCCTACCACGGATAGGGAAATGAAATCGTGAACGAGCATTGTTATCTGAAGCGAGACGATGCTGAGCTAAACGTGGTTCATTGTTTTTGCTAGAAGCACTTCATAATTTAGTTCTTAACAGAATAATAAGTGAGTTAAAAGTGTTCGAATTGACTAGTGAGGTAGGATTCTAACGGTAAATGGTAGAGAGCAAAAAGCAAAATTTAAGCAGAAAACGAAAAACTCTAGAAGCTTACGGCCAAAGGAAGTTTTCGATAACCGAGAGAGCCGAATGAGCCCGCATCTGGCCGGAGGTTCAAAACAAAACACGCAGCCACAGAAAAGGTCGATACGGCGGTCGAATGCATTGTTATTCTCAGTACTTGAAACATGCAAATAAAAGGATCTAACAAGGACTTTACTAGATAAAGATATCATACCTCGTATACGCTATTTTACGATTTTGCTGGATATGAATCTCATGTGTGGTTACATTCTCTCCGTATCAAAATGATATGGATTTTTATAGGAAATGGAATGATAGTTCCGTTCGACCAGTTAGACCTGTTGTTCGTCTGTCAACGGAAAAGGAAGTCACTACACAATGAGGCAACCAGCGCTTCTTTCCGCCAGCCTAATGACATCATCCGAACTATCGACATTTCATACTCCTGCATACTTCATTTTTTTTTTTTATAGGAATATTTATGGCTCGCATGGCTTCTACTAAGCAAGTAGTTCTTCAATCGCATCTTCATATTCCTAACCACTCATCACGCTGGGCCATATGTGTGCGTATATGTTATGTGTACATCGATATTGTTTTCCCCCCATTGAACCTGGCGTTCTTCGAAATACCGTTATTCCGAAACAGTTTTCAAGTTAGGTGTCCCCGCAGATATTTTCGGCAATGACAAAGCCAACGGGAAACATGAGTTTCTTTGAATGAACCAAATTACCTTTATATCCAATAAAATCCTTTCGTGTACTTGCGACAGGTCTCAGTGAGAATCTGTTGATAACTTCATTACAGAAATATGAAAAATTACCTTTTGAGTTTTCTATGACGTCGGTGATCCATTACAGGCGACTTATGTGAAATCGCTGCAATTTAACAAAGAACGATACCTATGTGTATATAAATAGACACGCTGAGAATGCGATCTAAAATGATCTGGAGCTTGACACAGCATTGAAGATTTCCGTTTCAAATCAAATTTAAAGTATAAGAAAAATTGGCCACAGCGCATAATAATACCGTTCAATGGCGACCCCGATGTACACTTAAAGCATCTGGACCGAACATAACGGCTTGTTTTCACATGGTCTGGCAAGAAGCGCTTCTTGGAAACGAGTGGAGATCATTTAGGATCTTTATCAACACAAATATAGCTCACTAATTGAGCACTTTTTTCGTAAGTATGTTACACAAGAGTTTCTTTTTATCCAGAAGAAAGTATAGTTTATAGATTATATCTACTAAGTAAATCGAGCAAATAGATTTGCAATATTGTATGATTTTACCGACTGCATAGAATCAATACCGCATTAGTGCCGACGGTAACGTTGATGCTTCAATGCTGTCAGGCATAGTGTACAAGCGGAACTCTCTGCAACGCGGTAAATGGCAACAAAGAATAGAACTTTTATAAACGCACTATGGATATTTGAATCTCTCATATCCTTCAGTTGAAAAAGCCTTTTATCTGCTTCATAAAGACTAACTAAATTTTGCGTATTTCTGTTCACTTGGAAACTAATTGAAGCAATCCAAATCTAGCAACTCCACGATGGCGATATGGTAAGACTGGGTTTTTTTTGAAAAAGCTGACTGAAAACCTCACAAAAAAATAGGACCTTTGCATCCCTTCTCGCTTCCCCAGGCTTCGCTTTTCTTAATCATCTTCTAACTCAACTAAACATAATTTATCCAATTGGCTTTCGTCATTCAACGTACCTACATAAATAAATCCATCAGGTATCTATCTGCACGCGTTAACTAGCGTCTGAAATACCACCTCAGACGGTAGTCTCATGACAGCTTCCACCAAACATTACTTCATCATTGTAAAAAGGTTTCAAACGAAGCAAATGAAATCTATCATTCTAACGACAGTATTGATCGAAAACCATTGGGCCACAACGAAACACGAAACAAACGAAAAACACACCACTTTATATTGCCTTTAAGTAACATTGTCAATCGACACTAGAATATATCCGTGTTATCAAAAGTGTTATCCATAGAGGAGGAGGAACAGTTGTAACAAAAAAAAAGAAAAAAAGATAATGCAGAAAATGTGGCGTTATTTTGCAGATCAAAAGGAACAATGATCATTGTATAGCTCAGAATGTTGACACCAACACCAGCGTGTCGAACTCTTCTTCTCTATATATTTTCGAACGAAAGCTGAACTCTTCATTCATTCATTCACAGTCTGACAAAAACGTCGAGGCGCAGAAGCGAAACCCCGACTGTGTCAAAATTTATTGCGTGTTTTCGTCCTTAATCAAAAACGGCGTTGCGAAGAGCTATGGGAAAACTCACGCTTCTTATTCCCTTTTTAAATTGAAATGCTCTAATCTTGGTTGAGAAGGTTCGCCATCGCTCACAAAAACGCGACTAGCTCAATTCGTCCTCGTCTTTTCAGGTGAACGAAGGCCAAACTCGCAGAATCAAGATTGTTTTCTGTTTGATACGTGCTGAAGAACCCAAATCATAAATCAATCAAAGACTGTTTCCAGCAAATCGATTGCAAAAAGCAGGTCAAAATCAAGATGCGTTGGCCTTGCAATAAAAAAATCTTTTTGAAATATGGCTGGCTGGCACCTTTATTCAAGCTCCACTGCGGACCGCGGACAACAAAAGCAATATATACGGCGTAGCGCAGACCATTATGTTAGCTAGCTAGCTAGTTAGCTAGTATAGTAAGTCACTGGTTCGAGTTCATGAGGAAACCTATGCTATGAAGGTGCATCGTTAAGAATAGCAGCATCACAAAATGATACTGCAGCTGGACGAAAAAATAATTACAAATAGGGATTATTGTACTTGATTTCGTTTATTAAAATAAACTTCACGCATTTGAAGCTCATAAAAAGAAGTCTGTCTCCACGAGGGTCTCCTCATGTAGCCGAAGGCTAATAGCAAAAGTAACTCTGTCCAATGTAGATCAATTTTGCTACTCAAGATTCGAATACGAAGCTTTTTTGACTCAGGTGAGCGGCAAATGTACCGTAATCCAATAGGAACGTTTCATCTTTGAAAACGCTTTTATTGATTAAACGAAAACTTAGAATCGGGTTGAGCCACTACGTGAATAGGGGCTCGCTTAAGAAAAACACGACGGGTCACAATAATTTTGACTGAAAGACTATCGTCGATAAAAACAAATGACTGAAAGTCGGAACATTTTTAATGTGTGAATTTTGCGAGCGCAAATATAGAAAAGAGTCTGCGTACAAGGAACAAAGTTCTCCAACATTTATTAAACTCAACAATACCTAAGAATAAATATTTAGGCGATTTACAATACGTAAAAACAGTATGCATACCCAACTAATCGACAGGATTAATTTAAATCAATTTTAAAAAGCTTGGAAAGATATGTTTGAAGAAAACATGTACCCTGAATAGACGATGTTTCAGCAAAGGCTCAAAATCATACGCATGTGTGCACGTAGAAACTGTACGACAAAACGCTCGTGCTTGGATAGTAATAGAAATCAATTTTTCAAGCTTTTGTCAATGTGCTCTTTCTCCGAATCTAACAAACCGCAAAGAAAAGCTAGGAACAGATAATCTGTGTTGCTAGCTTTTCGCCATGTGCGCTAATGGAGAAGAATATTTAACGGAAATTTAACGTAATAATGGAGATCACTCACCTCGGTCTGTGGGAGGCCCGATGTTGCTAGTGGGGGCACACTTCGAAATGTCGGCACGATTTTGAACGTCACGCTGCCCCGCGCGTCACGCTGAAATTATAACAGCAACAATCACATCGTATGTATATACTAGATTTATATAGATTTGCAAACGCCAGAAAAAGGCTACCTACCTTATCGGCCTAGTAAAATTTTCTAGATGCAAATAACTGTAAATTAGCAAATGAGCGGTACTTCGACTATGGCATTTTGTTTTACTAGCAATTATGTTTAGCAATTGATTATATAAGTCGTAATAGCATACAACTCACTGTAGGCATCCATTTACGTATCGATTTTTTTTTAATTAATCACTTGTGAATTTTGTCCTGGACACAGAGAGAAAGCCCTGTAGTCCTATCATCTGTTTCTCTGCTATGGGGGTCACAGATGTGATCCCGCATAATTGTAATGAACTCGTTTGATTGAATGAGAATGTTAGATCCTTATTCTCTGCAGGAGTCAACTGCGACTATTTTTCGACTACCCTTTCTATACGCAACTTCCTGCAATTCGAATTGGTTCGTGCCACACGGTGGAGTTGGCCCATTTCTACATAGATTTGTGCCTTGCTTCTAGAGGGTTTTTGCTGCTCAGTAGAGAAACCTAGCGGTTTTTGTGTTTTCTTAATCTAAATTTTCTCAACTAACGGCATGGTAGCTACACTGCTTTTTCCCGTCTTTTTTTTTTTCCCCCTCAAACAGTCATATTTTAGAACCGGGTAACTTTTAGTTAATAAGAGAGTACTGCACATGGCGTCGTAAAACACTAGAGTAAAAATAAGTGATAGTACACAGCAAAAAAAATGCTACCTTCCTTTGAACCCTTTTGGTTGGTGCCATTTTTAAAAGACAAGCGTTGATATAGGCCGATTGAATCGATCGGCTAATAATGGTTGTAGTCCCAGCCCAAACAAGGATTTAAAGCCAATTATCATTATCTAATGTATGGAAGATAGCATTATTAGGCTAAACATATTAATGGACAGCGTTCTCTGTCGACCACATTCTAGTTAAAAAGAAGGCAGGAAGGATTGTTTCGCAAATAACCAAAGATAGCTTTGGTAGAGATTTTCCTTACCTATTGCACAAGTATAGGCTCCAGCGTGCATTAGTTTTTTTGTCTCGTACAATTTGGCTCGTGCCAGTCATTGAATCTATTTATCAATGTTGCAGTACAATACATAAATATTATGTAACATCAATATGTATAAGCGAACATACTAGCAATCGTTGAAGGCTTTCGACGGTCTGGTTGGCCACGCTGATTCCATTGATTTCAATGATTTCGTCGCCCACGTGCAAAGTCGCTGAAATTAATCCAAATAAATATTTAAGTTAGAAAATCAAAGCAACTATAAAGGAGGGATGCGCTTCCTTATGGACATTACGTTTTGAGTGAGCTTTTAACATACTGGTAAGTGGAAAGTAAAAGAATAGAGAAATAAAGAATTTTCGAGCATTTATAGTGTGCTTTTTGGTTAAAGCAACTACTTTACTAGACGATCTATTGTTGAATAATATTTAGAAGATTTAGAAGACACAATTTCAAGGGTGTTCTGCAACCGTCTTCCTACTATAACGATTGATAACTGCTTTTGTCTTCAAGAAAGCGGGTGGGCCCCAATAAGGGCACGCGGTATATTCTTGTAAGAGGAGAAGATTTAATAGGCTAACGGGAATGGATCCGGACAAACGAAAGATGGGAACGATGTACATTCAGTACAAGCTCTCGCTTTAGAGCCAATAGTTGGCCGTTATAGCCTCCATCGAAAATATTTAATGCAATCAAATTTAGCTAAACAACAATGACAGCACAAAGATCGTGTAGAAGCTAGCATGGGGGATATTTTTAAATGCTAGGAAGTGTTGATGCCTTTGTTAAAACAAAAACCTACTCCTTTCAAGTAGATATAGCTGCTGCTGCTGATAATTGCTCCCAAAATGTGGCTTATTCGAGCATTAGACAAGACCTAAGTGAAGAAGGAAGTAGATCTTCTTCCTAATAGAAGTATACTAAATCGTACTCTATAATATATAGATAGATTTTTTAAGTGCCTTTTGACTAACACCAAAGTTTTTTGCCACCTTGTGACGATTGTATTGTCTTCTTCAGACAATTTATCGACTCCGAATTAAAAAATTCTATTGAATTCTAGCTCTTACGTCTTACAATTTAATACTAACCTTTAACAGAACGAATTGTTCATGCGTTCCATAGAAAGTTGTACACTAAAGTTTAAACTAAAGTTCGCTACCTTACATGAACATGTTCTAAACTCCCAACACGGGGCCTCTTTGTATGTTTTATGAGTAAAAAAGAAAACACGTGTAATTTTTTACAGCACAGTAAAAACAAATCGGATGTTAAAATGAGAAAAATAACAAAGCTTCCCACTTTAGAATAACGACTGAAAACAAATAGAAATAGGAAAAGATACAAGCAAGCTTATTAGAAAAGGTAAACTCAAGAGATCATATTTTTTGCATTGATCTTTTTGATAGCTTTTCCACTGTCTTTAATATGCTATAAGCCTTTTTATATTTGCAGTTGTTCTAAATATGGTTTTTATTATATACTGCGTTGTATCGGATATTAAAATTTAAATTGTACACAAATTGTTATAATTTAGTGGATTAACTTTTGTCATAACAAGTATTTTTAGCTTTATAATCGTTACATGTACGCATAAACGTATCACGTATATGAAGACTATGTACCTCAGTTTACCGTCTTGTATATAGAAAATGTGTATAATATCATTTAACGTTCTTGCGCCTACCACAGTTTCGTATCGAAATTAGATAGAATGGCACACACACACACACACACACACACACACACACACACACACACACACACACACACACACACACACACACACACACACACACACAAGTTCAGCAATTGAACAAAAATAAAAAGAGTATATATGTGTGTGTGTGTTGCAGACTCTTGTGAGGCTAATATCGCTACTTTAACGATAGTTTCCCTTTTTGTGTAAGTTCCCTTCTGACCACAGGGAGGCAGGGAGAGGCTTACGACGTATTTGTCTCTGTTCTTCTCTCACTTCTAGTAAGCAAAGGTGTGTCTGTGTCTAACATTGTTTACCTTATTAGTCCTGTCCCTTGCTTTGAGTCAGGGAATGATGTCCACATGAACTTCTTATTTTTACCCCGTTTTAATGGGAGCAGCTTAGCACATTTAAAGCTAGAAGCTGGTTGACTTCATTCTTTTTTTTTTTTTACAGAATTTCGAAGCACTGTAGCAGCTGCTATGGCAAAACGTTGTTTAAGAGTCGACCATATAAACATTAAGAGCTTGTGTTTAGCTACCTTTTTTAAGCATTCCAATACAGCTTAATTGATGATTGTGGCGAGGTGAATATTATGCTGCCATTGGGGGAAGAAAAGGGACCATCAAGTAGGTGGTGAGAAGCAGAACTGACACTCACAGCTGTAGTGTGTAACAACTGCAACCCACCACTGAAAATATTTTAGAGAAAACGTTATTTGCTACAATGTGTAGTATGGCAAAGCACGGTGGTTAGTATTATAGGGTTCGTTCAGGCAAAGGTGTACCTTGTTTATGAATCATTCCTCCATGCATGATGCGAGCCACGATACAGCGTCCCTCCTCGTCAACCTTCAGTGTGATTCCCTGCAAAACAATCAAGACGGAGCAAAAAATAAGAGCTCAAAGCATATGGAAATGTTAGCGTAATCCTCAGTTTGATACGACTTATTTCAAAGTGTCCTTTGATCTCGGAATCGCAAATTATGAATGTTGCAATAACAAATTCCGCGTTATGTATGAATCATACTCAACGTCTTTTTACAATGTTAAAATATGTTGCCATAAATCTTAGATATTATATTTCAAATAATATCACTCTGCCTCAATAAATAAAGTAATGGCTTCCTGAGTTTTTATTTATACGCCTGTGAATCTGCGTCACTGACAAACAATATTATTAGTTAAGCATGTATCTATTTTTTTAACAAATACATTTTTACAACTACTCAGGTATTATACAGTAGCAAAAGAAGAAGAAGAAGAAGAAAAAATAATACGTAAAAATACGGGTAACAATAGAGAATGCCGGTTAATTTGAGATTATCAGACCTGAAACGCTGCAACTATTATTTCTACTGGATGACTTTAAAGTTAGCTCTTTAGGAAAATAAAAATCAACAGCTCTCTGATATTTACGAACAAATCGACCAGAAACATAAGGAACCTTTGCTGGGAGAATGGCTTTCACGCTAACGGCATAAATGCATCCGGACTGGAGTTAGAGTTAACGTTGTGAAACTATTTAATCTTTTTTTCAATTAATTGCACGTGATTTCAGTTGAGAAATTTCGTATGTTTTTATGCCATTTAATTGTTAAATGTCACAGAAAAACACAAACTAAATAAACTTTTATGCAAAACGTAAGTAAAATGTGATCAAAGGAAGATTTCTAATAATCTAACAAATCGAACGAGCATTATTTCATGCATAAAACAAAATCCAATATGTAGAAATTAAATAAATCAATATTATATAATGAATCGACTTATATAATGAATATATAATGAATCGACATATAAATACATTTTTCTAGTTTTACGTTTGGAACTACGTCAGAATTACATCAAACATCAGCCTAACAGACCATTAGATACGACACGAATGATAAGATAAATATAGGTAGTTTTTAAGTTATCGTGACAATTTAAGTTATCGAGCGTTATCATGACTTTTCTTGAGAACGAAATCATCATTTTGTAGGAACCGCGAAAACCTAAACACACAAATGAGGTACTTATGTATCCGAGTTTTATAAGCAATAGTTTTTAGATCTTGCTCCTTATAGAGCCGTTATACACTAGCCACACTGATAATAACATTATTGAATAGTATCTTGATTATGTTTGTTGGACTGAAGGACTGAAACAGTTTCGACTCGACGACCGGACTATTGGCCTTCAGTCTACATTTAGGAAACATCGGTAGTAATAGTAACTAGCTGAAAAGAATATCGGTGCAAGGCGATTTAAACTTACTTTGTAGTGACTATAAGTTGGTTGATTAGAACCGTGCTGGCCGAGGCAACTGGGCCAGCAAAACAGGCCCATGATGAGCTACCGCACCACCACCTAAGCTATCAAATGTCGTAACAATTTACGTAGACAGCATTGTTCAGGAAGGCAGCGCTATCCGGTTTTCAATATCACTTCACTATCGTGCCACGACCTTAGTTCTCAGCATGTGGACTTCACTTCTGTCATTCTCGAATTCATTCCGAAATCTAGATTTTTATGGAACCATTGTAAGGTTCCGAAAAAGTGAAGCGTCTTATTCATTAATGGCGACGCGAGAACACAATTCACGCTTCACAATTCAGAATAAATTCACTGTCTATTTACTTTTGTCGAATTTGAAACGCAGGCGCCAATCTGAGAACTTCATCAAATCAGCGTCTATAGCACCATTTTTCTCATTTAGAAAATGTAATTTTCTTAAGCATTTCCCTCTTCGGACGTTTTACAAACATACCAACTAGTTCTATAACCACGGATATCCTGTTAGGCAGTAGAACTGCTTTTCTAAAAATTTCACAGCATTCTAGGCCCACTTTAAATCATTCCCTGTGGCACTTCGTACGAGAGGCAGCTTGCCTTATATTCAACGATGAAACGTGTAATAAAATAACTCTTACGATAAGAATGCGGCTAGGACGTCTAATTAGTAAAAACTGCCGAGATCAAATAATTAGTTAGATAGAAAAGTCTTGAGTTGTTCTCTTGCCTTTGCGTAACTCAAAAGATTTTCTTAATGTAATACAACGCATGAAATTCGGCCTCGTAAGAGAACAGTTAATCCTTTTGGCGATATCCAAATCCAATTGACTTAATATTGGCAAAAAGTATTTGTCTGATAACGAAAAAGCCACCTCGTTGAATATCTTTCGGCTATACGTCCGATATAGTCCTTATCGAGCAGTTGCACCCAAAATATCAAAGGAGGTAAAAAAAAAATAAGCTGTTCGATCATTTTGTGCATTTACGCTAGTTAGCGATTTTCTGGCTCGTCGAGACAAAGCAAGCGGTGATCGCTAGATTAGAACTTGTTAAAACATTTGTTCAAGTGAAATCTACCTTCTCTTATATGGGGGGTCATCTACAGGCGTTAGCAGTGTTGCTATTGTAGCACTTGCCCGACTACTAACAGATTAACTACGCCATCGGGACCTTTAGCCTCTTACAATCACGATAATGAAAATACCAGCAACAAAAATGGTACATAGCGGTCGTTTAGAGAGAATAGTTTAGTGCACAGATAGTCAGTTATGGCAGATTACCGATGGCCCAATGTCCCCGACGGAAAATAGAAGACCAAACGAGCTTCATGGCAAACCTTGTTGGGTGTCTGGCCGTTCACTCGCATAGTACAAGACCGACGTCATCAGACGCACAGCTAGGTTAGGATCGTTACATTTCAAGGTGTCGACACCTTAGGAGAGTGTTGGTTCTGGGTAAGGGCCATTTCAACCATACTATGAAATATCCTCTAGTCAGCCCTGAGGCGAACCCAGTCATGCTGGGTGCTGATGCTTTCCAGAGTCTCTCTCTCATTACCCATAGGGACGAGCATTAAAGTGCATCTTTGCTCATAGGAAATACATGTTTATTCCAAGTAATTCCAAGGCTGGTTTCGCCGAGGTGACTGACTGACTGCTGGTTTAAAATCAGTATAAAATGGCCCTTGTTTTATGCTGGTTCTTTGCCTAGTAGAATGTACCCATTTTCGTCGCGCTAACTGCTGCGTGTTATTTGAAGGGATACGAACTGAGGACTGCCATCATTGTTTCAAGTCTGTTCTTGTAAAATCGTCCCAAGCTCCTCTCGGCTTTATTCAAGATACGCAAATAGTTTAACTTTTGACATGATGTTGCAGCTTTTTCCTAATTTAGTTAACAAGCATCCTGATTGTATTTGCCGTAGCTATTCTCGGCTGTTCAAAACCGTTTCATATATTTATCTATACCTCATTTGTTTTCTTCCCATAGCGACTAGTCACAAGTGCTTGACGCCAATATTAGCAGTGCCATGTTCGGGAGAGGCAATATTTCTATTCATGTTAGATATTTAATATTGAAGTTTTGTTCATTTTCTTCATCAATTTTTTCAAATTTCAAAAGCCATAACCACATTTTTCACTTCAAGCACAACTTAATGTAAGACAGTGTGAAATACACAGTAAAATGTAGATCAGAAGACCTACTAATTACAGTTCTTTAATGTCAAAGTGTGCCAACGAACTCATCTTAACGCTAACAGACGCATTTTTTTTTTCTGAGAAAATAGACAATTCCAAGGGACGGGAAAGTATTAATCTATTTATTTATAAATTGCCCTGTTGTTCAGAATGCTCCATTCTCTTGACGCTTACGGTAATGTTGCCTATAAATATGTTTTACGAATATACTAATTTTAGACCTTTGATACCATTGTAGCCCAAAGCGATGAATTTCAATCGTGACATGCAGTACTAGATATGAGCCGTTGGAAACAGAATTTTAATTTGGCGCGTCTTTTATTAAAAACAAGCCTATTAATATTAATTCAAACATCTATCCACACAATCAACAGATTCTTATCATTTCAGTGGCTGTTTCTGTCTCATACACTAGGAGCGATCAAAGGTAGTTTGTTCGATCCATAAATATTCTTTTAAAAACCTGTTAAAAAAATGTGTAACCGAATGATAGCTAACTAACATAAAATCACAAAAAGGTGCACACTAACTTTCTAGCCATAAGTGTTTTTAAGGTTTTTGACACCGTGATCTTTGTAAGATGCAAGTTCTTCTGTTCTGATCCTATTTTTTAAAACTTCCTTTTCCCATTTCATCAAGTTCGGGGCGCAGGTACCCTATACGCCAATACTAACTTACATGCACCTTAAAACAAATACATTTCATTACAATAAATAACCTTTACTGAACCTCACTTTAGACGCTCATTGATGCGCTCAGAAATTGATTTGTCTCTTCACCTTCGCTGATAATATGAACGGTCATCTTCTTTATTATAGTTTCACAAGAAAACTCATATTCGTAAATCCTGATTTTCCGTACATTAGAACGGTCCCTCGAGAAACACAAATGATCATTCAAACTACAATAACGTAGCGGGCCAATTCAAGTGGAAAGTTTTAAATTTCCAAAAGTACAAAAATGTTGAAAACATATTACGCCGCTGCTAAGCGACACGAGTCTGAAGCCAAGGTAAACGTTTACCAATGCTTCGTATTTGACGACATGGTGCACTTGCTGTAACAAGGTAAAGTCAAAACAAGAAGAGGCCCTCTAGGGTGAATCGAATTTGTAAATTAACAGGTAGCGTAGTTGGCTCAGTAGTCAAGAATAGATGGTCGAACAATTACTGATTCTTCACATGGTTTCACAAGATCGTATCATTCTGAATGTTTACCAAAACATTTTAATCAGCTCAAAAGTATGAAACAAAAGCTAAGCTTCTTTATTTCCCTCTAAGATACTATAAACAAATTGCTAAAAATCGCGCAAGAACTTTTTTGCCTTTGTTTCCATAAACTTCGCTGATCGATCTAATCTCGCCCCAATCGAAGGGCGCAAATAATGGGCACATACATGCAAACTGACAACGCTGCGACATACTTATGCAGCAACTCCGCTTTAGAGCTGCTCAGAGAAAAGGACAGGCGGAAGATGATGAGCTTAACGTGCTGCAACGAAACTAAGCTATCATAACTTCTAGTTTTTCATACCTTGGTAACATGTCCAGCAGAGCTCTATTTCCCTTCTTTTTACTTATAGTAACAAAGCAAGCGAGATAATCAAGCCCTAACCAGCAATTGAACACAATGTAAACAAATGAGTCACAGCACTGCCACTACCTCACTTCACTCTGTGATCGTCCAGTCGAAGTAATTCGTAACAGAAGCATCTTTCATATAAAGCACAAGCTAGTATCAGCCTTTCCGACCCACTCGTCCTTCTTTTTTCCTTCTCAACCAGACGAGCATCGATGGGTTGTACTTAGTTTCTAGCTGCTGCTTTAATTTCGAAGCCTGCTAGCATTGCAAGCTGGTGGCTTATTCAACTGGCAGAAGCCTCGCTTATTCGGGCATGAAAAATTTCTTCATAAATTCATGGACCATCAAACAAGGTATCTATAACGTCACCAAACGTAGGTAATTTATAGAGCTAGAATACAGGCGATCTGTTGTGTGACCTTCTTTTTCTAATAAGGTGACATAAGGTAGATAGCTTATGCTATTCAAGTTCGACCTTTCCTTATCCGTGACACTCCTGAAAATAGTCTGAGAATTCGAAACATCTTCGAATTCTCAGACTATTTTCGCGAACAAGTGATCTTCGACCTCTTTGCCGTAACATACATAGGTGACAACTACAACGCGAAAAAAAAATCAGGATTCAGATCTCACACCCGATGATAGACTTGTCGTACCTAAATTTTAATTCTGGAGCACAAAAAATAGAACAATATCTTTAGTTGATGAGGAATGTGCCGGACGCCTTTTGTCTCTTTTCTGCCCGAGTCACTTCTATTTGAACAAAAGGTAGCTGAACGGAATGAGCGGCATGCTTTGTAAGCGCAAATCTGCCCATTCGGTCCGAAGGGAATATAGTAAAATATATATTAGTTCGTTCCGTACGGAACGTGACGTAATGAAGGTGAGTTTTTCAAATTTTTTCATAAGCATCTTTTATTTTTAATCAAAGTATGCACATTGTTATCTGAGTCCCTCTGCCATTTGAATGGTAACTTATTCATTCTGCTTTTGTAGAGGTCTAGAATATGAGACTCAAAGCCTCGAAAGGCATTTTCTACATCATTAAGGTGATTTTCCTATGAAAAGGTTCGCGAGATCTCGAAAAAAACGGTAATCCGTGAGGGCAGTGTCTGATGAACGTGTCGAATAGCAGAGAGCCTCTATCTGTAGTTCTTGCACTTTCGACGCAGTGATTCTTGTGGGATTAAATTAATCGTTGTTATAATGTCAGTAAATGTGACTTAGCTTTTTTCAATAACTTTGGTAATTAAATAGCTGCATAGTTATCCATAATCTCTTCCAATCGATGAGAGTACATATACTCCAGCCGTCACCGATAAATCGGAACTCATAAAGCTGTAGTTGGTAATAAGTGCACTACGCAGAACACCAAACAAACACCATAAGCCACTATAGGTGCTTCAATGTGATAACCTGCAGCTTCAGGCCATTTACCCACTGATATATCCATCTGTCGTTATCGTAGAAGAACAATGTGTAGAACAACAAGTGTCCCCTGTTTTTGATCCTGCTCAAGTCGTGCAGCACGTATATATCTGATTGTTTCTGCCTTACTCATTTATTTGACCGGGAGTGAACAGGTATGGCGCTTTTGTAAGACCCAAACCTAAGTGTTACTAGCCGTGAACTTTGAAATGAGTTGTCTTTCACCACAGCCTATTCACCCTCGGATAAGATCTTCCACGAGACTCATTTTCTGAGTCAAAATTTTCTTCTTTTAAATTTCTAAACCAATAGCTCATGATGTTTCCGGTGGTAGATCCTTCACCGAATACAAGTTCTCTGCGGAGAGTCATCTCTGCCGCTGTGGTTCTAAGATAGTATTCGTATTCAAAAGCTACCTGAATTTACTGATTTTTCATGGCTCACTTCAGCTTTTAAAATGCCGTACTTTTATAAAATAACGCCGTTTCAAAATATGTGATTAATCATTTCTTTTGGATTTCATACTGACCGACCTAATAAGAAACCAAAGTTAGCGCTATGCCCACTTAGACCCAGGAGACAAAAATAAGGTTTTTTTTTTTAACAACACCGATCTCTAACTACTAGCAGCGCTTGAAAGAAACAGAACAGCAAACGGTTTAAGAAAGGTTAGCTGATTTACCTAAAGGATGCCTAAAGAGATGCCAATGGATGGTAATCGTCTGAAACAGCAACAGATATCGAGCGCAATCTTGTCCTATAGCTTTCGTCCATGCGCACCGGTTTTTCGTTTACAGAAAAAAAATTTTAAAATGCGCGTTCCTGCTATCAGGTCCTCAAGCCTGCAAGAACGGAATTTCACCGACGGCGGCGCCCACTAAATGTCCCTTCTATTGCCGTTAAGGTTAATCCTCGCAGTAGAGAAGGGTTGCAATAGGCATGCGAAACGCTGAGAAGCTTTTATGCAGAATGCATCTTCATTCGCGTATTTTAAGCACTCACACCTGCTTCGCACTCGTTCTCTCCCCTTTACTCTTCTTTGCGTACTTTAACGGGAGCCACGCAATATAATACAACGTATAGAATATCTTGATAGTGACCTGTTAGGACAACAATTAGAATAATGCAGGAATGGTATTCAAATGTCCTGAGTAAGGCACTCAATAATGAGAAATCTATTCTTTTTGGTTAACAAAAGCTTACTGGTGCCTACCAGTGTTGCAGCATTCTATATTTAAAACGATTTACGTTAAATAATTAGAAATCAGTTTAATCGATGCTCACCTATGGGTGTTCACTTAAAGATGAAGTATAAAACAGGTACAAAGCATAGGTAAGATACTAAAAAATAGAGTTCTATCCTATTAAGAACTTACGCGATATTTGTAACTATTTGGAGCAAGAAGTTATTGATTAATGCAAGCAATACTAGTAAGACATTATTTTATAAATACATACGAGAGCTAAATTTTCCTGGCTTTGTCTTTTAGCTCCGTCTTTTTTCTACCGAAATTACGACTTTTTCTCTCACAAAACTCTGCCTAACACAAGTAGAAAGTGGGCAAAGCTGAGTAGACAGAGGCAAGGAAAGGGTGGTATGCCAGGCCCGTCTTCTGAAAAACCAATTCTCTTCTCTTTTCTTTAGAAAGCATACTGTCCTAAAAGAAGTTCAACCCACAGTTCCTAAAAGAGTTTATGCCTCGAATTTCGACCGAGCTTCACAGCTCATAACCTAAATTCTTCATAGACATAGAAGTAGTTTAAATGCGGACAAATACATTATGGATATCTCACATTAATAGCAATCGCCTTTCTTAATAATCAATTGCACGCAATACACAGAATCGTTTTTACCGAAAAGCTGTTACCGATCATACTGGTACATATACCAATAGCTGACAATTATTTTTATCCTCTTGACGATACTGTTTAGTGAGTGATACGATGTCAGGAGATTAATTTGTATGTAATTTTACGAAGCAAATGATGGTAATTGCTCGTCTTGTTTGTTCAGAGGCTGTTGCGCGTGTATATATATTTGTCAACTGCTCTCCGCTATCCTCTGGCTATGAAGCTAATATGAAAAATGGCCTCTTCTTATTTGGCCAACAAGCAGTAGGGTAACGATTGCCACAGCAACTGCACAGAACGAAGAACTAAGCACAACCTGCAATTGGGAAACACAGACGACCGACTGTGGCATGAAAAGTTCGCTCTCTGGCTGGAGTACGATCGATACATTGATGGCAGAAGAAAATCTCAAGCCAGCACAACAAGAGCTAGAAAACGCGGTACGGTTCAAATTGCTTAGGCACTTCGACTCCCTGCAGCCAGCTACAAAATATGGTTGAAGTATATCCGCATTTATACTTTAGACCCGCTCCGCCTATTCGTGCAGTGCCGCTGACAGCACAAGAAGAAAAACAATGAAGACGTATGTAACAGATATGGTGCATTTTAGAGGAGGTTGGTGGGAATGATACGTATAGGCATGCGTCGCTTGAAATCTCGCAAGTGTTTTGCCTAATGCGAAATCAACTTTCCTTTTTGTTTTGGCTGATGAACAGGTAACATGTCCAACAAACTTAAGGCAGAACGGTGCTCGTTTAGGTAACCCATGAGGCTCTTGTAGGACACAGCAATGCAACAGCACCTTCGAGGGAAACCGTGGGAAAGAAGATCGTCTTTATTAGAGAGCCCACCAAAGGTTGAAGGCAGGACACGACCGAGAAAGCCGAAGGATGGAAAAGACCTATTTTTTGAAGGTAGGCGAGATATACATGGGTGCACACAGTTATAAAGGGATTACTCATAAAGGAGATATGTAAATGTCCTCGATATTTTCGCTATTTGGACATCTGTCTCGGCCCAGTCGGTACATGGAAGCATCTAAAGCTGCGTAAGATAAGAATAGACAAATACATCATAATAGAACTCAATTTGATTGCAAAAAGGATTTTACCGCATATTTAAAGGTGTGTATCTAAAATTCTAGATATCCGAAACGTTTTACATTTCAAAAGACAATTTGAAAATATTTCTTCACGAATTTTAGAGCGTTACGTAGTATGTTATATATATACATATAGTTTCCAATAACGCAACAATATTGGAACTACCATTAAAAAAATGTTTGGTGACAGTACTAAACACAAAACTGGAAATATTTTTTTACTTTTATTATCACAATAAACGTAGCTTACCATAGGCTCATCGGTGTTTTTCTGGAATTGAACGAGGCGTATGCGGGTAATGTGTTGTTGTTGTTGATTTTGTTGTTGACCAGTGGTGATGTTTGTGGGGTCGTTGTCGTCAAGCAAACCCTCGGGCGACGTTGTGCCCGAGCTCTGCAATCGGCGCACATCGCTGCGTCCAGCGACAGCTCCCAGTGGACTCATCCCGATGCCCCCGTTCATTTGCAACGGCGTTCCGCCAACTCCACCTATTCCACTGATTGCGCCAAGGCCAATTCCGCTACCAAATGCTATGGGTAAGGCGCCTTCGAGTGTCCCTCCTAAGCCACCAAGGCATCCGCCAGTCGAAGACGATAGTGTCGTTGTCAGCGTTGCCGTTTGGGGCGGAGGTGTTAACGGAACCGCGCCGTCGCCGAAGATCTCGTGCGCAACAACGTCATGTGCTTGGAGCAGTGACTAGCGATCGGTATATGAAGAAGGACAGGTCGAGATGGCGAAACAGCAACCAGCGCGTCGAATGAAGACAGAAATGCGGAGAAACGAATTAACATATTAGCTATACTAATTATTGTTATTAACTAGATGCATGAATAATCTATCATACTCAGATAAACATATACAAGAGAAGTCAAATTATTTAGTTGTTGTTGTTGTTGTTGTCGTCCCGTATCTTTCTCTGGTTTGTTCCTTCACCGCAACAGTAACAGAGCACACGAGACTATTATCAAGAAATTGTCTAAACACAACAAAGCCCGCAGGATCTGCATTATTAGACTTGATATATATAATCTGTAGCGTAAAACTGGTCTTAACCGTCTATATTAAATTTTTCGAAATTGCAGAGCAATTCTCGACAGGTTAGTCGAACTTCGAAACAACAGATTTCCGAGCGGAACTGCCTCCAAAGATCTAAAGATGGGCGCCCATTTTTAGATCTTTGGAGGCAGCGGGAGAAATTGTCGTGACCAGGTATGCTTGTAGGTCGACGAAAATTTCATACAGAAATCTCTTTGTGCGTCCTCACAAAAAAAGCTAAACTTCTTCTTAGATCGGAAGATCGTGACGCGACGGGTTTACCTTGAACAACCCATCAGCCCTCAGATTTCTTCTCTGAGTAGGCCCGCACAAAATCTTTAACTCATGATGGGGCCATTTTTAAGCTTTTTTAGAGCCAATATTTAGCAACACCGACAATGTGCTTCCGAAAAGAACTATGAAAACGTCTATCTCACCTACGACCCCTTCGTACAAAGGTCAAAGTCGCTAGAATTAAACCGATTATTGCAGACTGACCATGTTTCACAAAGCCATCGGCACATGCACTGGAACCCATCACCAATCGATAATCGGCAAGTTTACTGGAAAATTTTTCTACAAGTTTGTTCCACGACAAACACATTGTCTATCTAGCACTATATAACAGACGCATGTCTGCTTTTTCAGGACGTAAAGTGCTTCCATGAGTACGAATTCTTTAAGAATTTCGTATTTGCTAGAACATTTTGGATGACATCGGAAAAAATACTTTACTTTTTGACAGTGAATAATTAGCGGTCGCAATTCCGAGGACGTTGTTCGGCTCTATCTTACCTCGGATATAGAAAAAAAAAAACAATTATTTACCTTTAGAAACAAAATATCGACTCATGCTAAAAAAGTTACTATACTTACTATACTTTCTGAAACGAGAACTTGTTCATATATTTTGTTAACCTAAATGAATGTTTGACTGATACAAAATAAAGTATTTGCACCCCTCCAAACATCCTTTTGTAATTCTAAACTTATTGTCCATTTGATATTTATAAAGGGTAATTTATAAAAATCGCTTTGTGGTAAGACTGCGACACTACAAGAAGCAACAGTATCATTTTGGCGGCTTACTTCAACCTGTGATCTTTGCGAGGTTTTCGCACGTTTTCAAGATCTCTGTTATAAATCCACCTTTTTATCATGTGGGCCCTAGTTGTAGAATAGGCCTTAAGTATTTTGTTGCTTGTACAAAGCGTAGCGTCTGGCTGGTGCAGCGCAGTCTTGAAGTTCTAAATTTTTCTATTCCGTCGTACTTGAATGTTATCGTCCGTGCTTTTCTAATATTGGCTGGCCTTTCTATATGACAAACAACGATTTGAAAACACACTGAAAATCATTTTTACTCAAGCTTCAGTAAACCTTTCCGGGCTAGCCTTCCACTATCCTCTTAACAGGTTTTTATAATTATCTTTTTGTATTTCTTAAAAGACCGCAAAAGCAGCCTTTCTTTATTTGCCTGGACCTTTTTTTTTGATAGACTGATGAAACGACAGGATAATTACTCTTAGTAATTATTACCCATGTAGCACTTTTTCTGCCTTGAAAAAGGCCCCGAGGTTCGAATCCAGTGACAGCAATCATACTTCAGTTATTACACAGTATTTACCGCATCGCTCGTTGCTACGGATCATCTTCGTCAATGAACAGTTTTGTTGTCTTTCTGCTAGCCACAGAAGGCTATTCAAAAAGTATCACAAAGAACAGAATTAATTATGCATCACATTTGTTTTTTTCAAACATTATTAATAGCGCCATGCCGTCACCAGTTCACTTATAGTTTAGTTTTATTATTAGGTGTTTAGAAATGCACCGCTATTGCCCGTTTTTCTTTCGAAGAATTTAAGGCTGTAGCTTTCTAAGCTAGCTTGCTTCAGCCTTGTCTTCGGGCGGATTATATCGACAGAAAATACTTTCTCTGCTAAGTAGCTTAGAGTGCCTTTTTTTTTTCTACTTCTATTGTCGTCAGAGTAGCATAAAACACAATTTTTGCAGGTGCAAAAATTCGACGGAACTCTTCGACAGTACGTTAAGTTATGTTTATCATTAACTTATCATAAGATATGAATATCTTATGTCCTTATAATAATAATTTAAGTAAAGATGTACAATCGTACCAATATAATTACATTTTTGAAAATTCAACATATCCTTTGCGACGATTTGCGAAAGTTTTATTATATATAACTGTTTGTTGCACTTCTTGGCGTTAAACTTTGAGGTTCTTTTAGACGGTAAACCTTTCATAACTTCGATTTTTTTGAAAATAATTTAACAAAATTTGAAAAATCAAGTTCTCAAGTTACAGGGTGTGAGTCGCTTACGAGTTGTACAACCTATCGCCAAATGGAGGTAAAAAATACGAACGCACACAAAGCATGTGTCACTCGTGTTTTCACAGTCCATGTCATTATATTAGGTTGCTACAAGCGAATCCGGTGAATTTTGAAATTGAGTAAGTTTTGATCTCCACGCCGCTAGTAGACGAAATTAATAAATACTCAAGTGTTCTAGTCAATAAAATCTATTGAGTTTATTCTAGGACAAACGAGTTCAAACATAAAAACGTTTTCTAGTCTCGAGAATCAAAGCTCAGTGGTGAGGTTTCTGTCCCTTAAAAATCACAGCGTTATTTTGGTGGACACACAACTTGGTGAAAACATTAGACGAGTAAGTCTTAGGCGAACGTATGATACGAGAATGGTGCAGACGTGTCAAGAACGGAGATTAAAGTATTGAAAGCCAGCGAGCAAATGACTACATTTCAAAACCCGAAAGACAAGAACGCATTGCTTGAAACAAGGGTGCTTTTCCTGAAAGCGAGACTGGAAGTCCTTAGGCTTTGTCGGAGAAAACTGGCATTTCACATGTAACGCATTACAGAATTTTACCCCAATTACCCAATGCCAAAACTGAGTGAAAATAGGTCCCCGGTGAATTGACTCTAGGACAGTTGGAAATGTTTGTGGTATGTTCCATGTGCAATTTGCGAAACCTTAATAAAAAAAAAAACGTATGAAGCATGCAGTCGCCACAAAAAAGCATAGTTCAATCTTTACCGCCAGCCGATAAAAGACGAGCCTGAAGAATGACATCATGGAGAGGAATCGAGTTCGACGATAGTGTTGAATATGTTCAGACATAGGATGACGGCAGCACTTGCAACGTTTGAACCTCACATTAGCGGCCTCTGCTACTATGAGATACTTGCTGAAAAGGAAACACTAAATATAGCCCGTTACGTCGAGCTCCTTCACAGAGCCACGACTCGCTAATGCTTCAAGTTCTTCCAGAGAGTCACATACCGTTGGACAATCGAAAGTACTTGATATGACTATCTAATGGCAAGGCCAGACCTCATTGCCATGCCACAATTCTTCCCGGAGCAAAGGAATATTTAACATGGGCTTCAACCCGCCAATTTTCCTGCAAGTCGACGTGATTAAGGCGCTTTCTATGCTCCAAAAAGGCCAACTAGTGGGCAAGCATCTTGCACTATCGATTTACTTTGAAAAGCCTACATATGGGAACACAAATAATAGGTGTGTAGCCGTGTATGAGCTGCCAACCTGCTAGGATAAGTGTGTAAAAAAAATAAAAGAGAACACGTGTAACACATATGAAAAAATCATCACTCTAACCCTAAAACGCATTGGCCTGGACAAACCTAGCCTTCAATAACATTCACGTTATTAGAGCTAAGTGCGTGACTTAAGGGCGAACATGATAATGCGAGCTGGGCACTAGAATGATTTCTAAATACTGTGAAAATGATTCATAACTAATAAAGTGAAGCAGCTCGAGAGGTATTATCCCTGTAAGAATTATCGCAACCACGGAGTGCGATATTTTAACAAAAATAGCAGTTACACTTGTTGCTGTCAGTAATCTATTGTTCTTATGCATAAATCTACGGTTGCTAAATAACTGATCTAGTGTATATGCTTTGTACACATTCCAGATACAGAGCGTACTTTTCGTAAGAATGCACCTCTTCTAAATAAGTTATAGCTGGTGGGTCTAACTGTCGCCAAATGGAACTGTTGTTCTTATTGTCGCTTTGTTGGCATTGAAGGTCTTTGCCGAACTGCGTAGGACGATAGCAAACAATAGTCACGCAGTGATAAATGTCAGTCAGGACCAAAATCGAAAATTCTTATAGAAAGTCTGTCCCAAAGGTCATCACGGTCCCTATATAGCCCCCTGTATCGTAGGCGATCTAATTCGCAGCCTACAGAATCGGGTGACTTTCAAAATGAATCACTTCATGCTTATTTCATCATCAACGAGCATAGACGAGAAAAGAGTCGCGAGAAAACTTTATTTCACCCTGCGCCCTGTTTTCCGTTCAAAATACGTAAACAGCCGTAACTTAATCTCGCCGGCAGTACATCTGCATCTAGGAGGAGAACTATACCTATAGGCCGCACGTTCTTGCTAGCCTTCACTTACCGAAAGGTGTATTTTTTTCCTCAGGAACTAGAGTTTCGGTTGTCTGGAAGCTGTGATGGAAGCTGTTGTATAACATAGGAGTGAATATCGAACGAAGTAATCCGTGGCTGATGCTACACAACCACGAACCATAATGGTTTACAAGTACACTAAATACGAAAAAATCGACTCTATCATTACCGAAGTAGAGAAAA